AAAGTCAAAGAAGACTAAGAAAGTCTCTGAAAGTGAAAACACCTCTGTAGTGACCCCACCTACATCAAAAGTAGATAATAAAGTTCAAGAACAAAGAGCAAAAAAGAAGGATGAGAATACAGAAAAAGATTTAGATAATTCAGAAGGAAAAAGTCCTAAAGCTATACAAACACAAGAGAAGACTGGACCAGTGTTTGATGAACTAGGAGGTAATTTTATACACTGTAATAAATCTAATTTTGTAGTTTTGAATATCGTAATAATAGTATAAATTCTTGGATCTCAAGAGTAGAAATCTTAAACGTGTTTTTAAACATATTTTAGATGTCTGGACAGAAGCCAAACCTCAAAAGAAAAGTAAAAAAAAAGCTCGTAAAGATAACTGAGGGTGATTAAGTATGATGAAAATTACGTTCCTCGTGAAAAGGAATAGAGTGAGAATCCTGCTTGGTCCAAACGACATGTGTCATTTCGGACTTACCAGGTGTGTTTTAAGTGACTTACCAATTAACCACCTGACCAAATTGTTCCTTCCCCTTGTACATAATGCCAATTGGACTAGGTTGTTCGATCAGTTCGATTTTACATGCTACATGACTGTAGGTGCAAAAATCGTTGTATGCAGAAAAAATCTTTGTTAACTATTGATTTTTTCAACATACTAATTATCTGCTTTAACGAAGCTGCTTTGCATTTAACGAAAGAGGCATAAGTCATAGTTTTCACTATAAAATAGTTATTATATATATATTATTCTTTTAAGGATTTCATATATGTCTATAATGATGCATTAGTATTCCATGAGTTACAGCTACATCTCTTAATATGTATTTTTAAGAGTTTCATTTTAAGTATAAATTGTTAACAAATAGTACTTATGTCCTTTACGTTTTGTCAACAAGTCCTATGAACAATATTTTTGCTAGGTTATTTTGCAACATGTTTGCATCCACGTTAGTAATATTTTAAATATTAATTTTATGCATTATAAGTAATTCAAATGTTATAGATGCGAACGGTTGAAAGCCAAAACTTAGAAAGTATGAGATATATTTCAAAACAATAATAAAGTGCAGGACAATCTCTTATGGAGAAAAGTTTGCATTACTGATGTACATGTCATTTTCAATGTACTGAGAGAAATATTTTCTTATACTTGATAGCGGGTAATTTATTCCATCATATAGATCCAAAATTATATACTTTGTAATAATAAACTGTATGTAATATTTTATCATAAAAAGTACATCAGTAACAAATTTTAAGGATTGATATGTATTTATAAGCATATGCGAATCTGTGACAAAATTTGTGCCAAGTTATGAAGAGAAGTAAAATGAGGTACAATGAAAGTCAATATACAATTACATATGATTAATTTATTAATTAAAATGGATTGTTTTAATTGAGATAACTGAATTTTATTCATTATTTATTTGTACAATATATAATTATATATATTTTTGTTTTCGGATTTTAGTGTTTATATAATACCAGTAGGCATGTATAATACTTAAAAATATAAAAAATATTTAATTCATACCTAAAATACTTTTACCAATTATATTATGCGATTTAATAAGAATAAAATTGTGTTCTGACTTTCAAAGTGTCTCGTTATTAAATATATTTAATAGAAAAGAAGGTACTGCAAATATTATCTTTTCATGTATAAGAATAATTCTACTGAACAAAAATCTGAAGGAAGTCTTATTAATGAGTATGATCAAACGTGGATCAAATAATCAAAGTTATTATGTTGTCTTTTAATTTTTTACGAACAATCTAATCCAGCCGTTCACATTTTATGCCATGTATAAAATATAGTGAGTATATTGATTATACATTAAAGGTTTTCTCCGAATAGTCTTTTTAACTAATGTAATTTAATCGTTAATATCTACATTATATATAGTAATATCGCATATGGAAATGCAAGAGTTAAACTCTATAAGAGAAGTAATGTCTTGAAAGAAGAATTAAATATTAAGAATATCTTTAAAGAAAACATTAAAATTGAGTACTATATTCAGAGTTTTTTGGCTTCTATTTTCTGAAAAAATGAAAAGACAAAAATTTGAAATCGAAAAATGATGTTAGTTGCAATCGCGTTATCGCGATTAAATGCGTAATAATTAATATAGGAGTTGCATTGTAACGTCATTTGCTCGAAACAATTTACTAATTAGTGTTGTATGTTAATATGTAAAGATAAAGAAAGAATATTTAGGGTGTATGGCGAATGAAATATTGTGATAAGTATACTGTATACCTGAGCGTTACATGAACGTTGTAAAATAGTACTATTAAATAATATTATCATTTATAGCTTTTACTTATAAAAAGAAAATGAAAAAATATTCGTTTAAATAGCTCTCCATATTTTGTACTTTTACCCTTAATATATTTTCACAAAATATTCATTCTACCTGTATGTTTTGAGATATACATACAAGGTATTAAAGATTTTAGTATTTCACATATTTTAAAAAATTCTTTGTTATAAAATATTGATACTTTGAAAAAAGAAAGGTTTCTTTATTTGAATACAATTTTTTCGAACGAGCTTCAATTCTATATACATATAGCGTGGAACCACGGATCGTTATTACTATGTAAAATCCAATGAAATATAGTCGCTTGTATCGAGTGACCCCATCGAGTGCCAAAAGTATATGTTATACTTTACTATGGGCAACTGTTGTATAATAATTTTTGGCAATGAAAAGACTTTAATATTCATCTTTCGATTATTTATAAATATATCGTCTCTACATTTCTAATTTTATGTAGCAAGCACTCTGCATTTTTATAATTTTACTTTCCTATACGTAATTATTCAAACGAATTGTTGGAAGTACCTATTCAACTATAATTGAAATAATAAAAAGAAAACATACGGAATGTAAAGATTTTTCTACAGGCGTTATGATCAGTGTTGAAATAACGATTTTTCTTACTAGTACGAGTTGTTACATTTCGTTGTTTAAGGTATAAACGGCACTAAAGAAAAGTAAAAAATGTAGTCTTTATTTTGTTTCTATTGCAACTATAAATGCAACGCTTAAATAATTCATGTTGCGTATATACTATCCATATTCAGTGTTACAGCTGTACTAAACTTATATATTTAAGTGGACAATTGATCGAGTAAAGCTAAATGTAATTAATTATAGTTTTATATTATGAACGAAGGATAGTTTTATATTATGAACGATTATGTAATGTTATTGTTCAACGCTGGTCGTAAGAAACGTTTATATTTACCAAATAATCATTGGTGTACTTAAGTTCAACGATTGGGACAATTTGAGTAGCTACTGAATCATGCGGTCTAGGTATTTAATATCATCATATTTTTGTATGTAATATTCTTCGGGTTACTAACTCGCGTGACGACACAATGACAAAGAGGCGAAGTTAATTCAGTTAATCAGCCTGGAAATTAAGGGAGTTTTTAAAATCATGTTGATAGAAGGATATCATATTTTGAATAATATTTATATGCACTTTACTCGTCTATCGAGTAATTAAATATCGATGTAAAAATCACTATAAAACTGTTGCTATCGCAAGATCCTAATAAAAAAAAAGAATTACACAAAAATTAAATACTAATGATAAAATTGATTAAATACTAAGGAAGTCTTTCCAACAAAACTAAATTTAATTGTACTGATTATGATTAAAAAATATTATCGCTATTGTATATATGTATAATATATTAATCAGCAATGTTCTTTCTAATTAAATATATACGTATGTGCAATTTTATTTTATAATGAAGTGGTAGTAGCTTGAAAAACTAGTGATTGAATAACGTGGTCTATACAAGTATGATTGTAGAGATATTTCAAAAGTGTCGATCAGTGTCCAACGAAATTAACTATATTTTTAAACATACATATATGTACTTTGATTGTAGCTTAATGAGACTACTGTAGTTACATATAGTGATTATAATGTGACGTCGATATTTTGCTTGAGCGTAGTTCAAAGTAACTGAAATATTTTTTTCTAAACAAAAGTCTTTCTCCTCATATAAATAAATGTACGATACGAAGTTAAGTTTAGTGGCCTAACGCTTGCAATATTATTAACCTGGTAGTGATGCACCTGGACTCTGATCAGAATAGAAATATCGAATATAGAATAAAGGAAACCAAGTGTAGACTAGATAAAAGGATATTATTCCGTGAAACAGAAATATCATGGTTATTCACGATGTATTTTATTCACCAAAAGTGTTAACGTAGTTACTGATATTACGATATCTATATAAATATATTTGTGTAAAATGCGTGTATTTCAGTCAGTTCAAATATTATATATAGCGTACGATTTAATGTTGAAATCGATATAAATGGAATTTTCTTTCAAAATTGATGGAAAAAAACATAATTCAAGAGAAATATTCTGTTTCCAACGGCTGCATATTCTTATTTGAATTATGATATCATTATAAATTCTGAAAGTTTATATAAGTCCTTGCAATATAAATATTTCGTAGCTGTAAGTTTAAAGTACATGATCAAAGCTACTACAAAAAAAAAAAAAAAGAAAATCGCGCAATCGGTACAAATGCGAAAATAGAATATTTCTCGTTCCGTACTTACATTTTTGATTGTGACATTTTTGGGATAGAAGTATAAGCGAAAAAAATAATGCATTACAAAATAAAGAAGAGGTAAAAAGAGGTAAATGAAATGAGGAATAAAAATTATATTTTTCAATATTCAGTTGCAACCATTCACTGCGCCCGCCCACTAATTATCGTTACAATGAATGTTTTGTACATATTTAATTGTCATTACAGTTTTTAAATATTGTATAAGGAAGGCTAGTTTATTCCAACTTTCAAGGGACCACAGAATATAGACAAATAATAAAACGTACAGAACCTCGTTTCTCATTTTACTTTTTCATCAACTGTTCCTTCATTATTCTCTTTTAGTTTCTACTTTCTACATGAAATTATTTACATTATATAAACTTATACAGTATCTATACTTTTTTTTTTACTAATTAATCTACTCATCGTTGGGAACACAAACAATATCGTTAGAATACACACGTTTTACATTTATAATTATCATATTTCACTTTCATTATTAAAAACAATCATTTACTTAAATTCGTTTTTCTAGTTTCCCTAAATGTTACTTTCTACGCTTATTTTCGAAATCCTTTTTTAGGGTATTTGCTGCATTTCCTTTTGAATGGTTTAACAGGCTTCGAGTCGCCCTCGTTCTCGATCTTGACTTTATTGCTCTTTCTTCCCAAATCGGCAGATTTCATTCCTTTGTGTCTAATTAACAATTTACTATTCTTTCTGGACGATCTGTTTTTATTCTTAATTCTTTTCTTCCTCTTGTGTTTCTTTTTACGATCCATATTAGCTATTATCGCTTCTGTGTCGGCGGACACTTTCACTTTCGGCTGCTGAATCGTAACAGTTACCCTCACAAATAGATCGTACAGAACATCGCCACAAAATTCACCAAAGCAATATTCTTCTCCACACTCAGCACACGTTTTTACGCTACTTTCGATCATACCGGCACGGTTTTTACTGCGTCTAATGGGGCTTATAATTGATCGTCGTTCTTTAGCAATTGTTTTTGCTTCTAGTTTTCCCATTTCTACCTGAGAAAGAGAACGTAATACAATATAAAATAACTATACAACCTAAAGATACTACTTAATTTTAAAAATATGGTTCCCAAAACGCTACACATAAATAATAATATTCACAGATTAAAGCTATTAATGTAGGGCAATCTACGAATCATCAAATATTCAAGTTGGCTCTGATAGTTCGAAATGTTTCAAACAAAAGTTTATTGGTATAAAATGAGGGATCTACAGATGTAAAAAAATGTTTCAAAAGCTAATTTGATTGGTGTGTGCGGGATTACGAGGCCTAAATAAAATAAATACCAATCTGGAAAACATTTCTTCGTCTTGTCGATACTTTGGTCTGATCGGCGTTAACATTCTCCAATCAATAGCAACCTGTTGTAACTCGTGAAGATTCAAAGCTCTCATGTCTGGAGGTATCGGATTTCCATAATTCCATTCCTTTCCAAATGCTTTCAGTTCTCTTCTGGTTGGCTTCCAGGAAAATTCTTTATCGCGCACTTTTGCATCATCTTTTTTTACCTATTACCATAATTATTCCATAATTATCAGGGAATAGAATTTTCAGATTTTGATAGTGAATTTTTTGTCATTTTATTACACCGTCAAAGGATCTTAATCGTACGCAATCGTAGAGGGACAGTTAAATTATTCGTATTACTCCAACCTTTTCCGGTTTAATTTTAAATTCAGGGCAATTTTCGAGCAGTCGCCGGAATTCTTCTTGAGAATTACAGGTTGCTTTACTTAGATCAGGTAATAAATTTGCATCCTTCTTATCTTCTTTTAGAAGATCGTCCAATTGGAAGGCCATTATTTATATCTGCAATCCAAGAAAAATATTCAGATCTCATTTTCCGATACGTAAATCATTATTCCTTCCTTATTTTATGCTGTCTGTACAAATTCGTTTTCTACAAATATAAAACGAAAGAAACGAAAATGTGAACAAAAACGCGATTGTTTGGTTTTTGTTAAAAGATCTCTGATGCAACGGGAGAGATTAGGCATCTCTCGGAATCCCATTCGATCTGTTTCATTAAAAGACCCTGCAAGATAGATTTACATATATCAATTTATGGAACACTAATATACTTAAAAGCGTCTCTATTTCGTTATACGACACGTACGTTTTTTAAGGTAGATAATTTAGATAGAATTTCTTGTCCGCACCAAATATTAGAATTGTCATTTCGTGATCCTTTATTGTCAGTATTATTAATATGAACATTGCTCAATCGAGCTTTATCACTTTGCTCGTTCCTATTCTCTTCGATAGTGATTCTCCCATTCTTGTCAGTTCTCAATGGTATGATAGAGTTCAAACTATCCATCGAGAGATCTGCGTCATAGTTGTCAACTTTTAATTTTGATCTATTTAATGTTCGAATTTTCGATTTAATATTCATAAACTTTCTTCTGTCAGGAGATGGCGATCTATCAAAAAACACAGTTGATTATCTGTTATAATATTTCTAATATAATATTTTTAATGCACGAATCGAAATATTAATAAGAATTACGTGTACCTAGAACGTTCATCGCTAGATTCAACTTGACGTCTCCTCAATCGCAATCGTCGTTGATAATGAGGATCTTTTTCGCTTTGCGTGCGATATCGAGTTCCAGGTCTAAGAAATTAACAATATTTAAACATCTTTCGTATTGCGATGAGATAAACTTTAATTAAATATTAATCTATGTTTAAACATTATTAAAAATTACCTATTAGCATTCCACTGTGGTCTAGATTCGATAGCTCTTCTAGGTTGAGGTTTCGACCGACGAAAAGTTTTTACGATAATGTCTTCCGCCAATCCAACGTTAGCAGACCTTTTAAATTAACGAAACATTGCGCATAACATTCAATACCATGCAAATGTTAGTTAGAAAATAAAATATTTGCATATTTATAAACACCCAAATATAGCGAAAGCAAGCATAACTTGTGTAATAATAAACAATGTATATACGTGCAAATAAATATACAAAAAAGATAGTAATATAAAATAAAAATAATTGTGTAATAAAGTGCGTAAAAAATAAAATTTCGAGAAACGAAATGAAATCATAATTACCGCTTCTATTTGCAAGACAGAAGAATAATATCCTCTACGACTCTTCAAGTTTTGAAGTGATTCAATGCATCATATTACGACTCACTTTTCAATGTCCCTCTTAATAGCATTCGTTGCATCCTTGCGGTCCTTCATAGAAGTATCCTTAGTGGTCAAGTCCTGCACTTTCTCCGGAAAATCCTGAACATTTTTCTCTATATCTGTTTGCGTACCGAAATCTCGGCCATTTATAGCTCTGTATTTGCTTGGCGTGAGTAATCTATTCTCTACGATCATCGATGATATCCTGGAGGAATTTGGGGTAAAGTTCGAACTGCCTATATTCTGTATGAAGGTATTCAAGCCTACAGATAAATTACTGTTCGAATTATTTTCTAATCTTCTTGGTGTTGGAGTCAACACCAAGTTGACCAATTGTAGATTTGCCTTGCTGAGTAGTTCCGAATCTTCGAGTCGACCACTTAGCACAATGGCTACGTCTTTGCTAACAGGAACTTGGACTGGTTTTATGTCATCCATATTTTGTTCTGATTTGTTCATCGTATTATTGTCATCGGTATTGTCATTGTGTGTTTTGTTACTATTGTTATCAACATTATTATATTCTCCTGTATTTGATGTTTCTTTCTCGACAGTTTTATTTTCAACATCGTCATTATTAGAAGGTAGATTCTGTTGACTTCCTGCACTCGCGCAATTTTGACCGACCTGGTTTTCATTCGAAATATTGGATTCACAGTTTTTAAGAGATGCAATGGGATTCTCTTCGCTATTTTTTTCGCACTTTCGCCGAAATTTCTTTTGTTCCTTTGCTAAACGCTCTGCTGCTTCTAACACTTCACGCATCGCCTCGGCTTGTCTTAATTTAGCCGCTTCTCGGTCTTTTAATTTTCTTTGTTCTTCCTCAAATCTAGGATAAAGATGATTTCGTATAGACTTATTGAACTAATTACACGTGTGTTTACTTGGTAGAGACACGTATAATCCGTTGTAAAAATAAACTCAATATATTTATACCTTTCCTTCTCTTTTTCCCTTTCTCGTTTGATTCGTTCTTCCTCTAATCGTTCCTCCCTCAGACGTCGCTCCTTCTCTTCTTTCCTTTGTCGATCCTTTTCTTCAAGTTGTTTTTTAATCGCGCTCTGAAGTTCTAGAGCTTTTTGTCTTCTTACTTCTCGTTCTTGGAGAATTTGTGCATCAACAGGAATATTTTGACCACGAAGATAAGTCTTGTTATCGGATCCGATCGAGCCCACCGTTGAGCTGTCTGAACTACTCGCACTCTCGTGATTAATAACCAAAACCTTGATAAATATTAATATAAAGTTACAAATTCTGATCATAGAAGATAATAGTTAACATGATATATATCAATAGAAGATACGATATTTGTTCTATTGATTTAAATTAGTATTAAATAGTTATCGAAATCGAGTTACAAGGTATTTCTGATAGTCATACTTGGCTCGAATGTCCCAATCTTGACAACCAAGACGGTGGTGGTGGATCTCCTCGTGTAGTCTCCTGACCCCAGACACTGCCCCATCTTGGCCTGTTAAGTTCGCCTATTCTACCATCAGATAATCTCCTCGATGGTGGTAATGAATTTTCAGGTGTTGTGTGATAAGGATTCTGCCACGTCTTTTCGGTCATGTCCGCTCCTAGTGGTTTGCAACTGGGCAACAGCGCTAGAGAATCAAACAGGAAATTACCTGTTATTTAAAAGCAAATATTTTATCGGCAAATGTGAATGCTTCTTTTTTAAAAAATCGGACATAACACTTCCACATACATATGTAAGAAACTGTAATAACTAATAATAAAAAATAAATAGCTTAAGGTAAGAACAAGATGATTCCAAAAATTGAATTCGTAGAAGACATACTCTAGCGTGTCATGAACTTATGCAATACGATCTGGTACTTACTGTATGATACAATATGTTAAGCTTCTTACTCCAAAATCTACCATACGAACTTACTTCCTTTCGCTGACACGGGTACGTCTACAGAGTCGCTGGCATAACCGGAAGTTTCCCCTTCGCGTTCTTCCCCTTGCGAGCCGTAATGATTGTTTTTTGAATTCTCGTAACGATCGTAAAGTCGACGTTTCTCGGAATGGTAGTGTAAGCCTTCTGTAGCGAAGTCTCGTTGTTGGCCCTAAAATACGAAGCAATGAATTTGTTCTATAAAGGTAAAGATAAAATGGTTCGCGTGACGAGAGAGCAATTCCCTACTTTTTCATCAATCTGAATATCGTGTTCCCTTTAACGCGCATATACATATACATATACTCATAGTTGGATATGATTACTGTACCAGTACGAGACAGGGACGACAAACGGTGATAGGGTTCTGTATCGACTTTTGAGATTTGTAGGGCCTGTTTGCTATCTTGACATAGGTTTAAGCTTAAGTGAATACGATTGCTTTGCCTTTATCGCGTTTCGTTATTTTAACGAGAACAGTTTTTATAAAATAAATGCTTTGCAGGAACCCCTTCGCGTTCTTCACCTTGCGAGCCGTAATGATTGTTTTTTGAATTCTCGTAACGATCGTAAAGTCGACGTTTCTCGGAATGGTAGTGTAAGCCTTCTGTAGCGAAGTCTCGTTGTTGGCCCTAAAATACGAAGCAATGAATTTGTTCTATAAAGGTAAAGATAAAATGGTTCGCGTGACGAGAGAGCAATTCCCTACTTTTTCATCAATCTGAATATCGTGTTCCCTTTAACGCGCATATACATATACATATACTCATAGTTGGATATGATTACTGTACCAGTACGAGACAGGGACGACAAACGGTGATAGGGTTCTGTATCGACTTTTGAGATTTGTAGGGCCTGTTTGCTATCTTGACATAGGTTTAAGCTTAAGTGAATACGATTGCTTTGCCTTTATCGCGTTTCGTTATTTTAACGAGAACAGTTTTTATAAAATAAATGCTTTGCAGGAAAAGAATTATTTTCTATTTTAAAAGTACAGCTATATTTCCTTAAGTACTCGTGTTATTTATTACGTTATTGATTGCGTTGAAGATATTTAAATTGATTTTATATAAGTGTCTGTGCAAAGGCAAATCAATTTTTTAAATACTGCTATATTGTTATTTTATATGAATTTTGAAAATATGTAACTATCTTAAATTGTATATACATATAACTCGTTATGTAGCATTGTAATATTCTTCTAGCTGAAACTACAATAATATACATCAAATATATGTAATTGCTTTAACTTTACACATACAGTGACTTCCAAAAGTGTCGCAACACCTTTTAGACTGAATTTGGTCGTTTGGTCCAGTTTTAAAAAAGTTACTCAGTCTTAAATAGTGTTGCACCAGATTTGGTAGTCATTGCATGTCCTATGTACATTCGATATGAAAATTGGAGTATGTACAAAGTATGTAATTTTGGTAAGAAACTTGGTCATATACAGGCAAGGAGTAGTCAAGAGGTGAGTGAACTTTGCTTGGAAGATAAGAATCGATTTGCCAGACTGCCTTACTTTTGCTTTCCCCTCACGAGTAACACACAATCACGTATAACTTTCTCGGAGCGGCAATTAAAAACACGTGCTCATTTGTTATTCCGTTATCGTATAGAACGGCATTTAGAACAAATTTTACGTAATGAATATTCAAAAATAATCAATTATACACAATACATAAGCGCGGTATGTAGCGTAAAAAGTAGGACAATGTTACGAATATTCAAGCATAAAAAGAAATTACGATCATCTTAAATTCTGCATCTACATATTTTGTTGTTCGCTTACCTTCCCTATATATTTATATATTTATCGTTTTGCAATATCTTTTATTTAATAAAAATCATATGTCTAATAAATAATGTATACCGTTATAATTTGTAATTTATAATTTATAATCGTTATTCCTGGTCAAAATCATTGAAAGTATTCGAATATTTTTGTGAGCCCCTGTATGTTGATATATGTTTCAGTCTCTATGTTAAACGTATCGCACGACGAACCTGACAATGATATTGTTGCTGATCCTTGTTATAAATCGGTGGCAAGCTCGGACTTCTGTGCCTAATCTGCGAAACTTCCGACTGCTCGTGCAGATTTATCAAGCTACCACCATTGCAATCCAGACATTTTACGCTCGTGCCGCCGTTTCCGGAACTCTCTGTCACCAGACTCTTCAGGCTGACGGTACTTCCGTAATGTCCAGCAGCACGAAAAGGTTTCGAGGGCGATTGCTTGTCTTTCGTTACCGTCAAGGACATTCTTGCGCCATTCGGATAGGTGCTGCGTTACACGTTTTATTAATACATCGTACAATAGTAATAGAAACACCTTGATTTACAATCGGATCGATGCGAGCCTGTCTGGCTAACATTGAACACGTTTATTTAATATCGCTAATCTAATGAATTAGGTACGAGTACCTTGACCTTATTCGATTGTTGATGAGTTTTTGAATAATTTAACAAAATTCTAAAGCTTTTATATAGAATTTAAGTTCATAATGCTTACTATATTAACGTATTAACCTAGAAAGACGAGTTAACTCGTCACTCGGATTACCAATCTCTTGGATACAATAATATCTTTATTTAAACTTTCAATGTTGCAAAAACCAGAAATCCAGCTGAAACTGATTTAGCTTTGGTAACATCTGATTGTATAATTATGAAAGTTTCTGGTTACAGGATAATCCGTTTAACTAATGAAATATCCTTGATCTTTCAGTGTCTAAATATTATTTTAAGCTATATACGAAAACACGAGCAATTGAAAAATAATTATACGTAATGTCTATTTGATTACTTAAACATCATCTTCTTAATAGTTTCTTACACGACTTACTCTGTACTTAGAATAAATTCAATTAAAAAATATATTTATTAAATAGCCTTGGTGTTTTTGAATGAAAATTTTAAAACAACAAAATTTATCGTGACTTTTCCATTTATTGTATTTTTGGTATTCGATACTTACCGGATATTGGTGCGGATATTGATGTTATTTTTCAGAAGACCCCAACTTCCGCCAAGACGTGCCATTTCTTCTACAGTATCCGTATAAAGTATTAATTTGCCGCGCAATATTATCATATTTTCATGCTAATATCTCTCTGATATTTAATTCAGTTTGTATATAAATGTACATTATTTTGTATTCTCTACCGGCTACTTGTATTAAGATTTCATATGATTTGATGTAATTTACATTTCCATCTAAATTTACTACGATTCCGATACGGTACACAGCACGCGATATGCTATTTTTGTATCATATAAATATATTATTGCAACTTCAGTTTTCATATTTTTCAATATCTACGATCATTCCGAGCAAATTTCAAGGATGCTACATTTTTTTCAAGATTATCGAGTATAGGATCATTCGTATGATTGGAATTTCGAGACCTACCTCTCTCTCTCGCCCATTGGATCCTTTTTTGTTCCACTAATGACGTTCTCCCGATCATTGTTGGCGCGCGACACGTTTCGCGCGAAATGAGATTTGCACGTTCGGTAATGAGGGTACGGTCAAATACGTAGGGAAAAAATAAAACAGAACCTACATCAATCAGTCCTTATTTAATGCTAACGCACGGCAGTTTTACCTATTTAGCCGTTTTCGATCTCCGGGCGATGAACCATCCAATGTTTCGGTGCGCGACGACTTCCGGCGCGAATTTGAAACCCTTAGATGTCAAAAGACATTGCCCGAGTTCATCGCAGGTCGTGTCAATATTTGAGACTGCGGTAGGCCTGCAGGACTGTACAAGGTTCACCTGACAAGTACACACACGTGTGGCTTATGTTAAATGCGAAAGGAACGCGCGGTCGCGATTCGATCACGCGGTACGTTTCTATGGGAACAATCGTGAATCAACCACGGAACCTCTTGCACTATTGTCAGGGTCGATAATATTGACCAGACAGGCAAGATAAGGGATAATGACCTCCAACCGTCTATTTGACGGTCAGAGATCACATCTTCGACAGTGGCATATGAACGTATGTAGGTACATCGTTGAAGAGATAAAACTGCTATAATGAATAACAACTTAAATAGCTGTACCAATGTAAAGTAAAAGATGCAATGTTTCATAGCTTTCTGCACGACTTACGAATATCAGTGACATTTCAATTTAAAATTCTATGTATCTTATTTGTTATATCAAATTTTCGTAAATGTTATCTTGTATTGAAATAGAAATAAAGATCACACGTATATTTATGTAACGAAGAAGATTTATTTTACATAAGTTTATGTAGAGCAAACAAAATCTCGTCGTTATTAATATAACAAGTACATATTTATTTAGCTAGTCAACCAATTCCATATTTCTAATTTAGTTTTTCTTAGATTGGTGTACTAAATAGGTATAATTTAAAATTATATAATTTATTTGCAATATATACGTATTGTGCTAATACAGTTTATGTATAGTTTAAATATCATCCACAGATATGCTGTTTTATAAAATTGTAAATAAAATAACATTATTAAGTCTTTTATAAAACCAATATTTATAGGATAAATAAGTAATTTTGTTAACTGTAATTGGAACTTGTTTCATATATGCCGCTTTTAAACGATATTACTATGAAAATACACGTTGCTACCATCTGTTATTAAAATAGTAAATCAACGATTAACAGGATTCTCTAGTGACATCTTGAAACGATAAAGTTATCAACATAAATGCACGTTCGCCCGGGAAATCTTTCTTATGAAAAATGGAACTATATTAGCATGTACATCCTTCCTGTTTGCCACAATCTTCTATTTCTAATTGTTCCCATTTGTTTAATTTGTATAGTCCTAGTTCTTAAACATAAATAAATTCTGAAAAACGTAACATCGCTGTTAAGAATTCTTACTTGAAAAATTATACTTTATTAGTTTTTTATTCAAAAGAAAATATCTAACAATACTAAAGTATTATATCGTATTTGTGAATGTCCGTATAAAAATGTGTATCAAAAATATAATTATATATTTATTTATGTGATAATTCATATTTTCAACGATAGTGGCGTGCATGATGTGATTTTATAATCGGAATTATTTGTAATCCGTTTGTTTTAAATGTATACATATGAAAGAAGTAAAACATGTCTTTAGATCAAACAGTGTGTGAAGGTAAAAATAACAGTTTAGTAATTTAAACGATTAATTTAACGCATTTGGTGAGAAATAGCAGTAATGTCATAATAGCAAATACAAGATCAGTTTTCAGGTTATATTGTGTTTGCTTGTAACTTCTAACTTTTTGTTGTTTTCAGATCTGAAAGCTTTTGAAAGACGACTTACTGAAGTAATTGCTAGTTTACAACCAGCCACTTTGCGTTGGAGAAGTATGATTTTCTATTTATCTGTGTCTGTTATATTTTATAAAACTCTCTTATTAGATGATAATATAACGTTAATGTTGCTTATTCATTTTGTTACTCGATGTAAATTTATTCTATGTATATTTAATGTAACACTATTTTCAGTGTTGTTAGGTTTCATTTCTGTGTGTACTGCTATTGGTGCATGGCATTGGTTAACAGATCCAAATACACCAGCAGTATCATTTACACAAAGTCTATGTAATCATCCATTTTTTGCAATTGCTAGTATTATTTTAGGTAAGCATGATCAACATGATCTGTGTTGTTTTTGGTAACATATATATAGATATAGAAATGGATATGCTTAATTTGTTTCAGTTATATTATTTATGATGGGAGTCCATAGACGTGTAATTGCACCAAGTATCATAACTCAAAGAGCTAGAAGTGTTCTTAGTAATTTTAATATGAGTTGTGATGATACTGGAAAGCTCATTCTTAAACCAACTCGATCACGACATCATGAAACTTAAAAAATAGAAATGATGTAGATTTTACGTTAGTTTCCGAAGTGTTCATTAATACCTAAATTGCTATGCAGGGTGTCTATAAAAAATATATGTATACTATATGTATACAACACATTTTTGATACTAGCGTTAGATTTAAGATATTTTCTTGTTGTACTTAGTATTTAAAAGATTCAAGTTGGTATCTTTTATTTTTTAAATTCTATTCATATATTAAAATTGATACACATATGAAAAATGTTGTATTTCATAAAATTATTTTAAGAATAGTAAAAAATTTTTAAATTATATATATTCCATGTACATTCATTCTAAATACTTTTAAACAATAAACTTAGTAAAAATGATTGCCAACAGATGATACAATAATTTTCATTTGTATTGAAGCAATAACAATTAATAGGTTTACAATGATTTATTTCAAAGCAGTGGTAAATGTAATTTGATATAAATTTTATTCCATGTACGTCATAACTTCCTAAATAATATAAGTTATAAATAATATAGTTCTTAAATACAAGAATATTTGTAATGTTCTTATTTATTGTGTGTATATATATACGTAAACATATGTATATGGCAAGAGATATAAATATTATATATTTATTTGATTGAAAAATGTTCGCAATGTTATGTATCTAAATTAAAAATTATATATATATACAATATTATATATATTATTTATATATATTTTGTGATTTAAAAATTTTTTAAATTTAGATATATAATATTGTGAATATTTTTCAATCAAATAAATATATAATATTTATATTTCTTCCCATATATTTGCAGAGAGTTGATACATGTTAAAATTTCTGTTTAGCATTTCATTAATATATATGACATGTATGAAGATATAAGTATAAACATAAGGTGTTGTAGTAATTTAAATTCATATATAGATAAATGATACATGTAACATCATAATTGTATATATATAAACATATATATATATATATATATATATAGAAATGTAAAATAAATTTTATTAGTATACTTTAAATAAGTAAAATTCTTTGTTATATTCATTAAATATATATGTAATGTACTATTTTAAATTTTATATGCAGATTAATTTTTATTTTTGTTGGTCGTGTGTGTGTTTCTTTTTATAATAACTTTGATTATAATCGAACTATTTTAAGTCATAAACAGTACTATCATACTATAAGCAATGAAACATAGACAATAACATTGAAATATTTACCATAAAGCAAAATTATGACTATTAAATGAAACATACTATTATAACGATCAAAACATTTATTCGTATTAATATTCTGCATATTATTACAATTTTTGCAATGCACAATCACGCGATTTATTTCGTACAATATTACATATACAATATTATGTATTTACGCAGATCAGTATTCATTCAAAATCAACTATAGCATTATGTATTTAAGACGCGTTTCTCAGTCCCAGTATTACATTACCTACGATATATATATACAAGGGATAATTACCAAGTATTGTAAGTGTAACATTCTAATTCTAACATTGCTAATAGCAATGTCTGGACAACTAAAAATTTTCTGTATTTGCCAATTTCTAAGTGCATATTTTTAACATATATAATATATTTCGTTATTTCATAAATATATACTTTTCTTTTTCAAATATATACTTTTTCATTTCTATTGGAAGTTTTCAATGGAACAATTAAATTGAAAACAAAATTTCCAATTTGTATCATTTAGAACTTCAAATAATGGACATGTTTATTCATATTTTTCTTCCGTTTCATTTCTTTATAATATACTCGATTTACCAGTAATATATTTGAAAGTTATTAACTTATTAAATACTTTTTATGAATAAAATATGAAAGCAGGAACGTTGTTAATTTTGGACCAAAAATTTTTGTTTAATTTTTCAAGATATCCTAGTAAAAATTAACTTTTATTTGCGTTTTACTTAAAACCCAAAAAACAAGAAGTAGGTAAATCTAACATTGAAAATGACTGGCGCTATAGCTTTATAAATTCTGAAATGTTATACAATTACTTGGTTCGTTTGCTTTATTCATATTACTAAAATATTTCGTAAAACGATCCTGTGATATTCATTTATCAGTACCTTTCTTTGTAATTACATGCGAGGATCAATATTTAATGTATTAAATATTGAAGAGTAGAAAGTTATAATATAAGATATATTTCATCACAAAAACCAAGCTAACATAGCATGGTTGCATTTATTTATGCATGGAACTAAAAAATAATTCAACAATCGTGTTTTCTAAACTCACGTGCTAGTGCATAGAAAACAGATCACCAGCTGAAGGAAGTGGTGCCAATCCGCCCGTAACATCAGGTAATTGTGTCAAATCAGGTAAATTGGAAATGTGTGATTTTACCTCAGATCGGACAGCGCATACTTTTTTAAGTTTTTCTTTATAATCCTGTAACATTATTAAATTTTATATTACATGTATATATATTTAAAATTATATAAAAAGTATTAAAAGTATTAAAAGTATATATATATTTTTTATTTATATATATATATTTTTTAAATAGATATTTGTGATTTATTTTCTAAAAAGAGTACAATCGTACTTCTAATGTTGCTTGTGCCTGTTGAAGTAATTGCCTTTGTGCCAAAGTGTAATCTCTGAGCATAGTTAGCAATCTCCTTCTGTCTTCCATTTCTGCTTGGAGTCGTCCGTTATAATCTGCTAACAATGCAGCAGCTTCATTTACTGCAACACTTAATTGATCTGCAGCTGCTCTATCTGCTAAATTCGCAAGAAGCGAAACTTCAGAAACTTCTGGTGGTAAAGAGGCAATACGTTCTCTAACACCAGCATCTGAGGATGCTGTGTTTTCCAAATCCTGAAATAGAGAAGGCATTCTTTAATAATTGCCTTCAATATGTTTATGTATATATACATGTTTAATGTATTTGTCTTATACTATTTACGTGATCATATGAATGGATCATTTAAGAGGGTAAGGTATTCTTTTACATAGAACTACGTTTTATTAAATAAGAATATTACTTCTAAAAGACTAAAAAGGCTATATATGTAAATTTTAAATAAATCCAATGTTACTATTTTATTATTTATGCAATAAATAAATAAAAAGTTTTTAGTAACACAAAGAGAAAATGTATTGCGAAGTAGATTAAGAATAAAAAAGATGGTTATGAAATGATTAAAATTTCTATTGGGGATGGAAATATCAAACTGTAAATATGCTTGCCAATATGCCTTATGGATTCAACATATATTTTTCTATATATAAGATAGTTTATTGCTAACGATACATATTCCGAATTTTTGTTGTTTTTATAAATGGTATTAACCATTAAGGCTTTGATGAGTTCCTCTGTTTCCGGTGGGTCTCCAGCAGGAGTACGAGGACTTAGTGTTACATGTAGCTCCTTGGTTCCATCCACTTCAACCTCAGTCTCTGATTTCTTTCTCTCCTTTTTATCTTTCTGCAATGTATGATATACATAACATAATTAGAAATATTATACTTAACATCATCTGAAATCAGTGTTTTATGTTACCTTTATTTTTTCTATGTCATTCTTAAATTTCTTTTTTGGAGGTGGTGTTCCAGGATCTTTTGAGGTATCTGTAAAAGCAGCCTTAAACTCTGCAATTTGTGCCTTATCATAAACTCCTCTCTCTTCCCAAATTTGAAGTAGCCTATTTAATCTCTCCCTTGTCTTTTCATCAAATCCCTTCATATGTTCAAAAGCTTTTGGTAAAACTGTCTCAAATTCTTTTCCAAACTCTGGTCCTTTCTTTTTACTATTTTGAATAACATCATTTGCCAAATACATAAACATCAGCTTACGATTATCCTTCACTGTAAAAATATGTTAATAATAATAATACTTGATAAAGTATAAATTCATCAATTTTATAAATCAATTATATATAAAAAAAATAAACTAATTTGCATTTTTTCTGTTAAAATTGAAATTGTAACAAAATGTAATATGTGAGAAAAGTTGTAATTATACAGTAAATCAGATTTATTATAACACTTTATTATAAAATAAATTATGACACTTATGAAATAATTAGTTCAAACATATATTATGTAATATAATTACAATGTGACAAGTGAACAATTAACATGTAAAAAGTGGAGAAATATTTTTAAAAATCTCTAAATAATGATGTCAATTATATAAAGTATTAATAACAATTGCATTGTATATGTGAAAGCATATTATGTACTGAATTTTACTTTTATATTGAAAATTATAATATCATGTAAAATGTAACATATTCTGATTGTATTAAATAAATACTAACGATATAAATACAATTTTGCAGTTGACATACTGTTACGAAAAGTATGTTCATAATTACGTAGCGAAAATCTAACTTATAAGTTAACCTAGACATTTTTCGAAGATTATTTCACATGTATTCGATTTGTAATACTTTTTTACAATAATTCAATAAGAAAATAATATTCGACCACGTGTCTAAAGTTTTAAATATAAAATAAATAGCAAAGATATACTTACGACAAGCGTCACGTACCTTTACACATCTCTTTAAACCAGACTTTCACGATGGTCGGATGATGTTTTCTGTGGTGAATTAACCAAAGAGAAAGTGTTTGAATGCTTTGTTGAGAGGGATTTAAGTCCATTAATCTTTTCACAAGTGCACTTTCTGTAAACCCTGTCATTTTTAAATTAGAACGTTTGTTTTGTCAGCAAAAGATGTATAAAACCGTACGTATCCCAACTCACGAGTCGCACAACTGTACGACTCAACAGCTGAAATACAAACATGAACGGCGTATAAAACGTTGCACTTTACCGCATATTATTTTCGTCATTTCAACAACCAGCGCCACCTTTCCGAGATATTTTCGAACTACATCGCATTGCGTTGTTAATTTCATGATCGATAATTCAAATATTACAGTACAGATAAAATGCTATTCGTATTTTCTGGTAGTCGATGACAGTTATTATCGTATTATGTCCATGTGACAGAATTTCTTACATTATTTTACTTGAAGAAGAAACAATTCATAATATTAGTAAGTATACGCTATCAAAGCAAAGTATATCCTAATTTCATTTTACATATATAAGAGGTATTAAAGGTTTTTTAAATGAGACAAATCAATAAGTATAGACAAAAGAAATATAAATGCATATATACATATTAAAGAATAAAATTACAAATTCTTTTTTATCGACTGTGCATGGTTTTGGTAAGAATCACGAGTAGAGGGTACTGGATCGCCTTGAATAGAGCGCAGCGGTGATTTCCAGAGACCGCCAGAGATCAGTGCGTCGTCGCAGTCGAGGGGTGAAAAAGGGATTATGTATCGTTGGGTTAGTTTGTTCTTCGAACCTGCCAATTCGTATTTCGTGTTTCGTTGCGCGTGAGACTTGTGCGATCCTCGAGCGAGGCTCATCGTAATGGCCGCGACCTGACTCGGGTGGTGTGCATGCGAGCTACCGTGTTCGCGTTACGTGAAGTAAACGAGCAGAAGAGGAGATAGAGTAAAAAAAATACAAGGAACGAGAAAATACGACGGAGTTTAGGGTTACGCGATTTCTGTGTATATCGTGAGTGCATGTGGGTGGGCGAGGTGGGTTGAGGTCGCAAAAAGTCTGGAGGACGGCAAATCATGAGCGAGGATAGGAACGAAGAGGATCCCCTAATGGATCTCTGGTACAGCAATTGGGAACAACAGTGCGTTGAGGCGCTGGAAACAGAACCGGATTACGAAACGCAACTGCATAACGAAAAGGAACTCTATTCCCAGCAGATGTGGACGAGTTTTCAGACGACAGCGTCGGCCATCGCCCAGCTGTACAAAGGCAAGTTAATTCAACGATAATACCGATCGCCGCTCCTGTCCTCCTTTTTGCTCATCTTCAGAACGAGTTCTATACGATGTTTACGAGTAGTAAAACGTCTTGCTACCTCGCTGTAGTTACCATTTTGCGTGACATCCATTTTGTGCGACGTACGAGAGGATACGCCACTGTTCTTGCTTCTCGTTTGCTTCGATTCCCTTTTTTCGCCGCGTGTTGCATATCGATCTGATCGTGTAACCAGTTCCTTTCGGCTTTGCTCTTTTACAGATCGTACGCAGGGTGTCTCTCTATGGCTACCCTTTCAGACTGCCGCAGGCACCGTCACGTCGTTGTACAAAGGTGCGTGCACTTCCTTGGTCTCTCTTGTCAACAATGTGAGCAAGATAAACCTATAGTCTGTCTTTCTTTCTCGTGATCTTTCCTTCTTTCTTTACGATATTATTTTTTTTGTGTCAGCTTTTCTTTTCTCTTTTTTTATCTACAGTTTTACTATTCGGTCATCCTTTTGCACGGCCGTCATCCACACACGTACACACATCACATTCATACACTTTGATAATGTGTTTGCATGTACGTGTGCGTCAGAAAGCTTTGCACAGCTGACCAATACTGAAGGTCAGCTGTTAATTGACGCAAACTTTCAGGACTATTACGAATATTTATAGAAAACAGAAGTACATTCCTATCATTTCCTGAAAATTAGATCATTCTTGCAGATAATTATGAGTCATATAATAAAATAATATCAAATGTTCATCAGTACAAGTTTTACATGTGTTTACTATGATGCTTGTTTTATAGGTAATTATTGATATTTTTGAATTGTTTATTTTGGAATAAATTTAATGGTTCTTTATGTTAAAATTTTGATTTGTCCTATCCTATTGTAATTTAAAGAAAGCTAATATTAGCATTTTTAAATTATTATTTTAATTTCTAATAATTCTTTCAAAATGTTAATTGTTTTTATGAACATTAAATTTAAGTTTATGACCATATTACAAAAGATTTTAATTTTATTTCAATTATTCATTAATTATGTCTTTTATTAATAATCTTAATAACGTGGATTTCTATTTATTTCAAATATCTATTTAACTATAACTGTTTACGGATAACAATTTTTCCTTTTTTCTTTAGTTACTTATGCTGATAATCATATAAGTTATATATTTAACAAAGTTTGGTATATAAGTGTAACACACATTTCTACAGATTCAATGGATAGCATACGTCGCTGCAGTGAATTAGGTGTAGAAATGGGACGACAAAAACGTTGTAAAGAAATAATGAATTGGGCTAGGAAAAAGAGACGTATGATTCGTAGAGAAGACCTGTTAGCATATCTTGCTGGAAAACCACCTCCACCTCGATCACATTCGCACAGGTATCGTATCAATATCTTTAATAATATTTAATGTACAAATAAATGTGTTTTCTATAGTTTTTGTATAAATAAATTCCAGAAGCTGGGAAAAGCATTAATGTCATGTTACTGTATTTTACTATGCAAAAAATCTTTTAAATGTTTTATTTTATAGGACCAATAACTTTTATAAGGTTTGTCTTATTAATGAAAGTAACACAGATGTAAAATGAGCATTAATAAATTTGCAGAAGTTCACCTAAGCCAAGAATGATGGTATGTAGTTCGCCTTCATCAGGAAGTTCAGCACCAAATATGGTCGTTGCACCAACACCGCTACCTGGTAATGATCCTGATCCTGAATTACATACATTTAGAGAAGCAATTGCATTATCTGGTAAGAATTGTTGCAATATAGTAGTAAATGTAAAAAAAAATTAAGCTTACCATGAATTATTGAAATCATTTTGTGTTAGTTATAATGATGGAAAGATCTTTATGTTGATGTTCAAATTCTGTTCACTGTAATTAATATTGTCTTTAAATAATCAAAATCTCTTTTTAAAAATTGTGTGTAGGTTCACCAATATCTCGGCGCACTGGGAGACAAACCGAATTGTCAGCCTTTATTAGTAGCGAATTCGCTCGACATCATAAACGGCCTGCTTCGCACGATGTGGATATGGGATCTCCCACGCACAAACGCTCGCGTTTCATGTAACGGCGCGCGATGTATAAAGTAGCCTCGCTCCCTTGTTCCCCATTAATTAATCAATTGATAAATTAATTATTAACGGTTCAACTCCCCTACATAGTTCTCGGTTAAACATAATCACTTCAAGAAGATGGCAGTGACTTGCATTGCCATATGAAACACGTTCGTATATCTCGACTGTTATAATATTTATCAAGTTACATTATTATTTTTTATTAATATCAACTTTAAAGTTTTGGTCCTATTATTAATGATTGGAGCAGTTAATTTAGCTTTAAATAATTAATTTAATTGTGAGGAGCAATTAAGGTATCGAAATTACTGTGTCATTGTTTGAAGAAATATTAATTTGTTAACTTAAGTTTTTAAAATTACTACAAAAAAAATGGTTAGAATTTATTTGAAAATTATTTATTTATTTATTTATATACATATATATATATATATAATATATATATATAAGTTGTGAAGTAATGAAAACGTGTTACAAAATACCATTCAAAGTGCCCATACGGAGTGAATGTCATTGTTTCTTGTGCAAAAATCTGTATATGTGATTATTAGTTGATCAATTTATAAACCAAGAGTATATACCTTGCCAAACATACTATGAGATATTAAAAGCTGCAACTAACATGCTTTACACATAATTAATGTGTATCTTGAAATTAGCAGCTAATATTTCGTGATATTTTTTAGTCACTTCATAATATACTGTAATTTGTTCGAGTGCGATGTTTGACAAGTGATGAATTGGTGATCTAGTATTTTGTAATTATATTACTGTCCATGATTGTAATTTTATAGGAAAAAAAGGGAACGGGGAGAAAATGACTGTAGATTGTTCTTTCACAATCCAAAGGATCGCTTTTCTGATTATAATATTGTTATGATTATTAAATGATCATAGGTAATTCGTACTTGGACGCTTTTGTGAATAAAATGATCACGTTTTATACGACTTTTGTTGGTGATATAAGGGAAATATGTGATGGGAGAAAGAATAAGAACATAAGTGAAAGCAATGAAAAACAATGTGTTCATGAATTGGTTTCTGTAATTCTGTAATTTTTATTTATCATGTAAAAACAAGGGATCTACATTTTCTGTTGTATGACCTCTATATGATGTAGAGGAATCATAAAAATGTCTTTTGGATAATATATTTAATTGTTTCTGCAATCTGTCTTGTTTGTAATTGTACATCTGCTTTATTTATTTTGTGTGCGATCCCTTGGAAACAATCGAAAAGTGTTTACTACCATGTTTTACGCGTCATGACATCCACGCCTAAGTTTTAAATAACATGAGATCGAGTTTAGAAGCAAGGTTCAAGGAAAATGCTGAAAAATGATGTTCACGTCTTATTCTTTCCATATGTGTCGCGGGTGCTCATAATTGTGTAACTAATTGATAAAAGGTTCTCAAATAGACTTTGTGTAGTTATAAATCTTAAGCAAGTTAGGATAAACAATGCTTATATCAAACAGAATCGACAGATAAAATTAGCGGATCGGTGGAAAGGCTCTATAAAAAGTTTCTTCCAATCTTCTTGTATTTGACATCAATGATGGAAGATTATCATAGTATCGAAGTTGATTTTTATTTTTTTGTGTATTTGTTACAAGCAAAGGGTTGAGCAGTGTGTAGTGAAGATGTGTTTCATGGAAAGTCAGTATGAAAACCGTGCAATGTAAAGGTATCTACTTTTCCACAATTTCTAGTATGGATTTAATTAATAAAGGAGCTTTCCGTCTTAGATGTAGCCATTGTCAGAGAGACACAGGCAGCTCTTTGCTGTATATGCACATACACATATACACATGTAATGTATATATGTGTATTTGTACGTATACGTGCATATTTTATAAGAAGCATTATGTTCAAAGAGAGAAGTTGAAATAGAGTGATTCATCACTCGGATTATAAGGTCACTGTACATGTATATTATTTCTAGTGTTGTGTCTTGTAACTGCTTCTACTTGAATTTTGAAGATCATCAATTATAGGAAATTCGAAAATGTTTTAACCGAACTGCCTATAAATTTATTTAAGAACAAAGTTCATTCTTCCTATTCACGTTTCGAATTTCCTTTCATTCGTTCTTCGAAAATCACTTAGGAGTAAACTTGTTTCTGTTTGTTTCCTTCTCCTTCATATCGTTTGAGCACCGTTCCGGAAACAAGCGAAAAATTGTTATTCAGTTGTAAATATAGCGTACGTTTATAATGATAACGATAAACAATAGCCTTAGGGGTATTGCTAATATTATCATTATTGATATCGACACCTATGCGATAGCTTTAATAATATTTATCATATGATCGGCAATTAATAAAACTCCAAGGATTCCACTTGACTCAATTTTCCTGACCACTTTGGTTACGCAGGGTCACGTTTTTGAAATTTCTGAAAGTTCAATTCAAACGAAAAGTATAATACTATATCGAGAAGTATCTTTGTACGTAAAAAATTTAGTCGCATTATTTGTTTTTAAGTTTTTCAGACGATAATATTCTATTGATCTGATTCATTTCTTGGTAGATTTTCGTACAAAGGTAATTCTACTTAAACATTTAAATAGAAGAAAGTAACACGCTGAAGATGCCATACTTAGGAATACGTTATTGATAAGAAAATAATAGTCAATGATGGAACATCGAGTCATTTTGTACAGGCATTGTCATCTTTATTTTCCCTTTCTTAGTAAAGAGACATTTTCGATTTATATTTGAGAAGTTTGATTTTGATCGTGAGAAAATCGATATTTGTTTATAATCTAATAACGTGTTACTTGTTCGACTATTTGCAAGAATTTGTTACTGTATTTGACATTTTCCTACCTTGTATAATGCAAGACTATTCATATACGTGAGACGACACTTCGAGATCAGCAAACTAAGTTTTCCCACATATATAGGGAGCTTTCCCTTTCTCATAGGAAGTTAATCTTGTTAGTAATCTATGTTGTCTTTTATACTGATACAATATTTTTTATTTATACAGTCAGTGCAAAATATTGTGCACAGTTTCAAAAGAAAATATACGGGTTTATTAAAATTTCTTATCATTTATAATGAAAACTGCTAGAAGGCGATATTTTTTGTAGGTAAATATTTTGAGATTGTAAATGAATAGGAAGTGATATGAATATCATATCTTTTATGAAGAAATTAAATTTTACGTTATAAGTAATCTTTTTGTGAATCGATGACTTCCGTGTTTCTTTAATGAAATTTGTCATTCATATTTGCTGCCAAAAGGAGTTTTCAATGAAATTGCCATTATGCAAAACCGACTGTTGTGTATAGAAACAGAAGACATAGCTTATAGGGCTCTGAAATTAATCGATTAATAGTAAAAATAAATTAATCCGTTTTTATATTAATAAATTGATAGTACTCTAGAATAATCGGACAAGTTAAACATCAATATTTATTATTCATTAATCGATTAATCGGGCAGCCTTAGTAGGTGAGATCGCGAGAATCACTTCTGTATCATATCTTTTTCACAGTAATGGTAGTTCGTACGCCAATCATACAGGTGCGTAGAAACGCGTACGTGTCACAAACACAGGGCACCAACAAATTTTCTACAAACCATTTTTTTTATTCTGATGCACATTAATTGCAACGTGATGTACTTTTTTGTCAACAAATGTATCACCAAATTCTACTTGCACGAACACGGAAAAACCGTAAGAGAACATGAAATGTCTGTTCGCGGCGAGGCGAGAAATGGTGCTGTAATTTTTTGCGACTATAAGAAGCTTGTATATTTTTGCGTCTCTTGTTTGTAAGATAATCATTTACAAATAAAATTACAAAGAAAAAATATTATATTGTTAGTATTTGCCTTTTGTGTACAAATTATTAACATATTTTTTACAAAATAAGACTATTTTATAAAATGTTTTTGATATTTATTCGTATCATATTTACATGTTTTAGTTTTATGCGATTTGTACACTTTGTATATTGTATTTATATGACCAATAAGAAAAAATTAATTTCACTTATCCTATTGTCTAAAGAATGTATAAAGATACATTCTATTAAATTGGCATTTACATTCTCATTTACATTGATTAACTTAGTAATGTATTCTATTGTTTTAAGGCACCATACAAGCAAAAAATTAGGATTTTTGCATGATGAAATAGTATTTCAACATGTCGTTCATACAGTGAATTACCAATTTATACTTTTATGGCTGTAATTTTTTCCGGAAATGAGTAGATTTTTTGTAGTACATTAATTATAAGGAAAATGGCAAGGAGCGATACATCGCGTCTTATGATTTGATTATAGCAAAAAAATAATGTAATCTTATAACACCTACACATCCGTGTAATTAAAATAACTTTAATCATACAATCACGCGAAATTTTATATGAACTATAATTAAAACGTAAGTGCAACTGTTCGTATTGATTTTTTATACGTTGTATACAATTTAGTTTTGTGTTAGAAATTAGTTGTATAATTTTTTAGTAGGCACTTAAGCAGTTTATTAGGCAAGATTAAAATATTCGAAAATAAAGCTAATATTCTTTTGTTTCCTCAGTAATATTTCAAGTTTCACAGTCTACTATCTTTAATGACATTTTCTGGAGCATCTAATGCTCTTTTCCTGTTAGCTATTGCATTCATTAATTTCCTTTTAGGTCCAAGTGGAAGTTTAAGTGCCGCTATATCAGTTTCAGTTAGTAGCATTAGGGCTTCTAGATCAATTTGTTCTGATTCTAAAACCGGATGTACCGATGAAAGATTATTGGCAACTAAAAATCTTTGCAATGGTGTCCATTCCTCATCGGTTTCTTCCTCTATAATTATATATGATTTTATATCAATTATTAGTATTTAAGATAAAAATTTAACAGACATATAAATATATTAACAATTTGCAATAGAATTTAGCAATATAAAGGATTTTACCTGAAAGTAAATCATCATCCCACATACTTTGTCGGCGAGCTAAACTACCTGCGCTTCCTATGCTGATTTCTTCGTTGTGCCCATTTGAGTTGGTTCTATGACCATTTATAGATCCGTTTACAGAACCATTCACGCAAGAGTTACCGTTTTGTTCATGTGCATCCACTTGCGAGACTGGTAGATTATCGAAAGTAGTTGTTATCTAAAGTTAGAAAACAGCAGTCTTCTATACACTGCTTTAAATAAAATCATTATATTTGAGACATTTCAATAATATTAATGAGCTATTATTCTATTATCTATCCATTGTAATATTAACAAATTCTTTAGATGAATATATTAATATCTTTCGTTGTTAATTTTGCATTTGAAATGCATTACGAATTCAATGTCTTTAATATCGTTGAAGAAATGAGTAATATAATCAAATTGGGTGGAATGTAACTATTTAAAACAATTATCGTGAGCAGTGACCGTGTAATCATTTAATTTTACAGCTATGTATGTCATTATAACATTAATAAGTGTTGTGAAGTAAAATAATCACAAAAATAGAGCATGCTAAGGTAAATTCTGCATTCTGTGAATGGTCGTTATAAGGAACGTTTCGCAATAAAAATTTTATATGTTCGTGAAATCATAATTTGAATTAATTAAAATGTCCCGTAGTCATATAAGATATAAAATACCACGCTACAACATTTAAATTAATTAATAGGCATTTCTCGTTTGATCTCTTTTACCATGCAAAAATATAATACATAAACTTACCGCTCTTCGAAATGCTACCGATCCAAAACCAGGTCGATTGAAGATACTTGCTGGTTCTTGCAGCAAAACGTTATCTCCTACGCCATCCATGTCTTCTCTATCATCTTGTTCGGTATCTTCGTCAAAGGATCGATCGCCCAAGAGATCAGGAGTACTTTGTGCTTTGCTCAGTGTACCCCAAACGTCAGAGATTTTTCCTCTCCTTCCTGCTTGTTGAGTTTGCGTTTCGTAAGTTCCTACGTACATTACTTCAGAATCTCTTCTAAGACCAGTGAGACTACGTATCGATTTTTTTCCATTTACTTCAATCTAAAAATTTTTAATCAGAAAGAACAGAACTTAATTCTCTTTGATAAAAGAAATATTATACATAAAAATAAAATAGATTCAATGTTGATTTTTAATTATATTATTAAATTATGTTCAAAGAAACACTAATAAACTTATTTGCTAGTATTAAAATTCGTTTTTTAGTTATTTACAACCATGTTTAAAAAATATGTAAGTTTAAATATTTATTTTACCTCTACTACTTTGAAATCATCAACGGCTTTTCTCGCTAAAGCTTTTCTGCATACTGCACTGCCTTGTTTCTTTACAGTAGTGCCAACGATATCGCTGAATGTTGGTGAAGGCTTCACTCGACCTTTGAAGGTCAACATACTGGGTTTGTGAGGTAGAATGCCGGTTTCGTTAACCGTAGCTAAATCCAATTTCGTTCGATCTTTTGATAACTTTTTCTGTTCCTTTTCAGCTCTGATTTCCGCCATCTTCTGTTTTTTCATATATTCTTTTAATCTGTTTTATACATAATTGATGATGATAAAAATTGAAAGTGGAAGTTGTATCAGTGTTGAGGTATAACATTTTTTTACTATATTCTTTTACATATTCTTATATCTATATACTCCTTTTGCACATATTTAAATAATTGTATAAATACCGTTTTTCAGCATCTTTTTCTGCCTTTTCTCGAAGTAAACGACTCTTTTTGCGATTATTTAATTCTTGATCAGCTTGAGCAAGATCTAGAAACTGAAGAGTCATCTCTCTACCATTTATAGCAGCCAAGTCTCTAGCTGAATGCCTGTCGATATCCAATGACCAAATATTGCAGCCGAATTTCACGAGGAACTTGACGCAATATTCATGACCCCTTGCCGCTGCCAGGTGAAGGGCCGTATTACCAAAATAATCGGTTTTGTCAGGATCTCCCCTACAAAGAAAATCGTTAAAATACAAATTATTCCACATCTGCTACTTGTTACTCGACGCATTAATGCACAAGGATGAAGTTGCGAGTTCATTTCCACATTGCTTTTGCAAATATCATCATTAACTTTTAATTTTAAAGTTTTAAAGTACAAGGGATTATGTAGAATGGAATGTAGTTAAAATAATATAGCTTGTATAATATGTGATGTCATTATTTTCCTATTGACAAATTTGAACGACGTAGTAATAGTTTGCATTTTTACAATCGTCGTTAAAAATATATATTTTTACCCTAGGGGATTTGACCTTCGAAAACGAATGGAGGGAATAAATGAGTTCTGTAGCATCACATCCTGTCACGCAATGACACACGAGCGGAACAAAGTTCCGGAAAGATACCGGGTCTTATATCGAATTTCTATCGTTCGTCGACCACACTGAAGCCAGTCGAACGACATATGATCTTATTCATAATAGGGCACGTGCTGTCTTTCAGCTTTTATATCAGCTCTTCACGGATCGTCGCTGATCCTATGAAATAATGTACAGTCGTAAGGTAGTTTCAAAGATCCCATACGAATTATCATCCAAAATAAATCTTGAGAAATAGAACATTTGTGAAATTGAAACAAATAATAGAAGACACCTGAATAGAAAAATTATAGTAATATTCTATTAAATGCATTTACCCTTTTATACATATTATGTCATTAAATGATACTGTATACACTACATTAAACCGTGTACTATCTGTATATAATAATGTAAGTAGCAGTAAGTGCAATACGTGTAAGAAATGTGACTATTTCATATTATACTAGATTTTATATCTTTTATCGTAGTGATCAAACATTACTCTTTTTATGTATGATCGTATTAATATCAGTGATTGAATTATTGAATGTTTCTGTTACTTCAAGAATAAGTTAGAATTTCTGCATTTTATTTTGTCTACAAAATGGGTAAGTAAATATTTTAACTAGAGAAGGTTAACGTCCAACAACGATTTTAAATGATTACATGAATGGCAATTCCTTGTTCCCCTGTTCCATTTCATTCCGTTCCCCTGCGTTTTGTTCCGTTCGTATTGTTTCCCACTCCGATTCGATTGTTTTCCATCGGTGCTTGCTTGGCCGTAATTTCCGTTCGTGGGGTCGATAGATGCCAGATTATAGCATATATTTCCGGTTTCGCACATCTGTCATCGTTTAATACAAAACTCTCGTGTATATTCATACATGTACGTACTTAAAGGAAAAAGGAAACCACGAATATTTTATATTAGAGGTACGTTTTAAAAGTAATTTATGTTTCAGCGATTAATGCAATTTTTTTCATATTTTGTGAATGTTATTCATATGGAGTATTGTTAAAGTTTCCACGTTCACTAACCATAACGGCCTCGTACTTAATTTACATGTGACTTCCAAGGTTAACTAAAGATACATACGTATAAGCTTCTTCAATTTTCTGTATTACATGTTGATAAGTCTACTTTTTTAAGTAATAAATTTACAAGATGCCATAAATAGAAATTGTTAAAAAAATCGGTAATACAATATAGTAGGATCATACAATATAGTAGTAGGAGGAAATTTGTTGTAATGAGATTTTTGAATATTTTAATTGAACTATTTGTTTCAAAATATAGTATTTATATTTAATTTATCTTATCTAATATTTATATCTCATATTTATTAAGAAATCTACATTTTCGAAGTAAAATATTTTGTGCAAAAAATTACATCAAAAGTATCGTCTGTGCACGCGTGAGCAGTTACATTTTACCGCGAACCTTTTCTGTTTTAGTGCGCAGATGTAGAAATAGGAATGTAACCAGAAATAAGAAATGTTTAACGATAAAACTGTTCATCCAAGAATCGAGAGGTATTACATCGTTTCTGTTTAAGGATTCTATTTTCCACGAGCTATTGCAAGTGATATGGTAAATTAATATAAACATGCACATGCAGCGATAAAGTCTTCTTTTGAAATAAACTAGTTATTAATTGTAACTCGTAAAAGAGTATAGTATAGTATAGTATAGTTTCGTAGAAACCCTGTGATGCGTATGGATGTTTCTCGAATGTATTTATAAGTAAATAGTTTTGTGAGTATACCCTCTGGCGACGAGCAGTCTCAGAGCATCTATATGACCTTCAAAGGCTGCCCATAATGTAGGGGTCATTCCACCGTCATCCCGCGCGTTACAATCCTTTTTTGTTGCTTCTTTTAAGATGTCTAAGGCGCCATCGCGTGCAGCTCTATAGAGAAAACAATTATTTTCAAATAATCACTGATCTCATATAACCGCTAAAGAATTCTGTTATATTTGATATAGTATGTTTTTTAAAAGATAAATATTTCAATTATATGATTTTATATCTAATGATATTTGATGCAAAAATATTCTGATTTTTTAATGACAGACATTAATAATCAAGATTAAAAATTTTATAATAAACGAAGTTACCTCTTTCGACATATAATACAATTAGAATTACAAAAAAGTCGTATTCTACTAAAAGATCATTGAGTCTTTAAATAATTAGTATCTTTTGTTGTAGGAGCACTTCCCGCTATACATGTATTTAGAAGTAATAGATATTTCATTACTATATAGTTATCTCGTTTCTTGATAATTTCCTAGCTCTACTTATGAATTAAACTGCATATCTTGTGTCATGATAATGTGACATAGCACGTCATCGTTTTCTCCTTCGCTCGAGTTTTCTTCTTTTAATTAGTCTTTCTCTAATTAAGAATTATTATACAAAATTTTACATTCGTATATATATGTATGTATACAATGAAATTTAACGCTTAAAGTTTACTTTCACTTTTTAACACTTCGATTATTTGACGTTACTCTATTTTATTTCATATATATATTTAAAGATGTATGAGTCTATTTGTAATATGAAAAAAGAAATGAGAAAAGAGTCCTAAATGAAAAATATGAGCGAAGATGTCAGAGAAAGCACGTACAAAGTTCTAACGAGCTCCTTGCATGATAATTTTCTCTATGTTACAAATCATTAACCATGAATACATCTTGACACGTATTGATTTTACTTAAATGAAAGTATGTAGAAGTGTTGTAAGACAAATGATTACTTTTATTAAATTAGATGAGATTCCTAATTGTTATTTTTAAAAATCATAATAATTTTATATAATTATATATAAAACTTTATAAGAAAATATAATGTGTCCTACGAACTCTGCCCACCTGAAATATCTTTGTTATTTCAAACAATACGCGAAAATGTTTCTAAAATGAACGAATGTATCAAAAGCACAACAGTACCATTTTGTATGTCTATTATTTGTTTACATTTGAAGTATTACATACATCTTCCAGCATGACTCATAACGAAAGTAAAAAGATGAATATAATCAAATATCTCAGAAACGGCAAGGTGTGGGATACATGTACCTTCCTTTTATACCCAGAATCCGCTATGGTATCGAACTCAAGTATGAAAAATTGGATATTGCATTTAAAAAAATAAAATTGATCTCCTTATCTTTCCTGTGCATTTACCTGTAAAGAAACCATTATCTGTTACCATATGTATGTATTTCTTTAAATCCTACAACTTTAATTCGTAATACTTTCGCATATTGTTTGAAATAACAAAGATATTTCAGATGAACAGAGTTTGTGGGACGCAACTGTATATGCGTTATTCATTAGAAAGAGCATTGACGATTTACATTTTATGTTCTCCAAATAATGATTTAGTTTATTAAGTATTTCTATTTGAAGAGTAAATTATTGCGCCTTTTAATTAAATGGATACTTTTTTCAGTGAAAGGTGATATTCAGAAGTGGAGTATACATTATACAATTGGTGCTCGTAGAAGTGGGCTGGATGATAAATCTTCCTGCTGAATCAAATAAAAGCAAAGGTGTTCTCATGCATAAATTCCGCACGCGTGCTATGATGTACATATACCGATGAGATAGTACTTACATGATCATAGCCATTGTACAGTTCTGGGTAAGTAGGTATGCTTCAAATTTTTTAAATTCTTTCATTCAGTTATACTGCACGTATCACTTATATTAAATGATGCAGTATTGTTACCAAAATTTTGTTATTAAATCAATTAATATCCGTGTACTATCTTTGAACGTACTAGTTAATTTATATTAATAAAAGACCCGTTTTTTATAATTGTCGCAAAAAAGAAAAACAGAAATATCTATACCTATATATGAAACTAGAAATTAAAAATAGGTGAATTTTGAATTGTGATGTCGCAGTGATTATGAAACAATAAATTTCTTCGATTGATTTCTTATCGAATTGTAGTTGGTGGTCAAGATTTCAAAGTGCAATACTTCGTTCTCATGGTTAACCAGGCATGTCATTTTTTCACTCTAGCCAGAGACAAGAACCTGGCTCCACGACATTTCTCTGCTTCCTGGATCTTAGATAGATATCTTGTTGTAGTATATTAAAGCGTACCGCGTACCATTGGTAGAGAAACAAAAACATGAAAACTCAGAAAGGTATGCACAAAGTTTGTTGCTCGTATAAAAGGAAATTCACCTGTGAAATCGTTCGGACGTCATTCTGTTCCTCTATCCTTTTAGGAAGTTTCGTTACCGATGGCAAAACATCCCTGCTGGAGGCAGAACTTTTGGCACTTTTTCTATGAGATGCACTTTAAATAACAACAAATGCAAGTATCATAGATCCTGCATATTTTGAGCAAAGTGAAACAACCACACGCGCTGAGTATGGCGTCCAGCAGTGTACTGCTCAAACGAAGGTATTATACTCTTACTGTATTACTTGGACCGTGTTCTGTGGTCCCTCACCAAGTCTATCTTACTTTCGACCGTTACATTGATAAGTCCTCTCTCGCTCTTTTACCAGTTCCCGCCGTTGCTTACCTGTCTGGTACCACCATAGGAATACTTTCCGCCACCTAGTGTTCAGTATTCCGTTACGTATGTGTGCAATCTATTTCTACTCTACCGACAAACTTTCATACTGCCTTTTAAAAATTAATCTGCTATAGCACTGTCAACACTGGCGTATTTTCTATAATAGTTATGCAATTTGATCTAATATATTTTAATTATGTAGAAATTTGAAAGTGTTTTTATAGATTAATTGTATATTTGAGACAATAGAAATTTACAGTGTTAAGTTTTTATTTGCCGTTTATTTATTATGTGCGCATTTACATTCTTTATATTTTGTTGGTTTTATATATATGATCATAGTTAGGAAACATTTAATAACTTATAATAAAAACTTATGTATATACATGATAAAGAAATTCTTTTGCATGTTATAGATAAGGAAGATGTAGTATGATGACTTATATTAACGATTGTTGGATTAGTCGGATTCCTTTCATCAGAAATAAACGGAGAAAAGTCGTAGTTATGAAAGTTACCAACATGAAGATAGAATGCTGCGCCGCAATCGGTAAGTAGGTATTTTAAAAAGATAAATGATTCACGCCTAGCATGCAATCGCTTCTATATCTCTTAAGTAATAATTTATGTACAAATTATGTTTTCGAAGTTGTTTTATTGAGACGTTACAACAATCAGCATGCAAAGATTACATTGAGTCCAGAATCTTACAATATTCATTTGTTTCAATATACTTGCTAAATATACAATTGGCTTGCAACAAAACCACTTGTGTCAAGCAAAGAACATTGTTAGTGCTGCAAAAGATACCCTTGAGTACAGATTTTGTACACATTCAATTGCCAATCGGAGATTCCTTTGATATGTTTCTTTATTGCTTTACAACATGGACGTAAAATAATGATTCTTTAAGAATTATATTTTTTAAACAAATTGTTTATATTGCACATTTATTGCCTTCATTTGATTTTAATACAGACATTTAGGAATAATGTTACATGTAATATAAAGAAAGATTAAGTATTCGTCATACGTTGTTCTTAATACTGTAAAAAATAGTCTTTAATTTAAACAAAATGTTTTGAATTACAAACAAACTAAATACGTTATTATTAAACTTTTAAAAAATTGATCTTTTTACACATTTTCAAATTTCATAGTAATAAATATATAAATTGACATTACTCATGTATTTCATGAGTATCTTTAAGTCGTTAATAATACAATCCGCTTTTCTTAAGTTCAATTGTATATCTTGAAATCTTGCACCGAATTTGCAACACTAACGATAATACCAAGCAATCCTTCCTATTGTTATTAACCCTTATTTACTTACAATTTCATCACAGCTTGATTATGTTTTTATTGTTAATTGTTAACTATGTATTTCGTATATTTACATGTTATCAGTATGAATAATTAACAGAGCAACGCCAGTATTGAATGCATCATTTTGAAATTTCACTGCACTTCATCGTGTATATGAAATTATACTTCAAAAGTTAACATTTCTTATTATGTAAATTAAAAAAAGCGATATAAATATTTTGTTCCTTCAAAGTTATGCTTCTAATAATTTTATTCATAAAAGTTAAAAAAAATTATTTTATTATACGAAAAAATGTTCAACAATATTTCAGTTTTGTAACATGTACGCAATTAAAAATTTTAATAAATTTTAGCTTTTAACGTATATACACAAAATATTTAACAAAGATTTCCCTAAGTAAGTACATTGGGTGGGACATATTAGCCCAGAGAAATAATATTCCAAATATTACCGGAGATTTATCATTTTTATATGTATATTTCTTTAACCATTGGTCCATTCAAACTCGAATAATAAACAACTTTTTGTTTTCTGAACAAACTCAATTCGTCTCTTCTCGTCTTATTCCGTTTACCAAGAAAATGTTCCTCAGCAGTTTTATCACCAATTTTTAGTACAAAATATCGAATAAAAATAAACGAAGAAATTTCTCTGCACGTACAAATGCTGTTTTACTGATTTCATATGTATATTATTCGTACTAAAAATAAACTAAACTACAGAATGCTGTTTTTTATTATATGCTGATTTAATATGTTCAATTGTGTTTTATCAATGTCATCATTTTATCGTACGAGAGATATAAAAATAGATTTTTATATTCATTTGGCTAAGCCTCTGTTTTTAAAAAACAACATATATACGGTATATCACTCGAAGTCAATGGATTGTCATTTTTGCTACATTTCTTTTCTTTTACACTCGATTCGAGTATACCTACAAAATTCATTTAATTCCTTCGTTCTTATTATATCATCCAAGGAAAAATATTTTTTCATGGAATTTAAGAACGATTTTGATATTTTATGCAGGTATAATGAAATAGGCCTCAACTCGTGAAACGTTTAACAATAGAACAAGAAAGATTTTGACAGTTAATTCTTTTCGAATTACTGTACTTTCACAAATGTGTTACAAGGGACAGCTCAACGCTGTGTAAATATAACATTGTACGTCATACGTATTTAAACGAGTTTGATACGATATGACAAAATCGTGTCATATATAAATGTCATAAATACATTGATTTTTCCTTTATATTATTTAATATATTGTTTATCGTTTCAATTTAAGAAATATGTTGTTTGAAATTCCAACGCATTCTTTTATATATATATGTATTGTATATATTTTTTTGTAGCAGTCATTTAATAGTTAATATAGATTGAGGAATGATAATACGATTTATCATATGTGTTAAAAATTGGAAAATACATTTTTAGTAAAGTTTCGCTACAAATACATATTAACAATTTTTTCGAAATATTTGAAATGCATTTATGTATTTACGTTAAATATTTTTCAAGCGACTTGAAGGGCTTTTTATACATTGCCAAATATGAAATCACGTGAATAATTTTCAACATTTTCGTTTTGCAACTGTCATTGTCTTTTCGCTTTATTTTTCGTATCATAGACATTGAGAAAATTGTATAACGTAAAAAGAATATAGCGTAAAAGATTTGTATGATTATTCTCGGTAGAAATATGTATCGTAATTTCAACATAACTTTTATGTACCTTCGTTATAGGTAAACGTTAATTTTGTACAGATTGATCGATCACTTTTAAGAGGGTATATTATTTGTCATCATCGCGGCAAGCTTTTATGTTTATCATGTTTCTTTCGTTAAGAAAATAATGTTCTTCTGAAAATGATTGTCTTGCAACAGAACGCAATTTGTGAAAAGCCATATTAGCTTCACTTATACTATGTTTTGAGATCATTGAGCACACATTACGTTACTATATATTGTAGTTCGGAATTGAAAGATAGAATATTTAATTATATAATGAATCATAAAATAAGATACAGTGAAACAACGTAAGATTCGGAGTGAGTTCGTTATTATTAGGAAAAATATTTATCTTTTATGAAGCAATTATTCTAATTTTAATAGTCCATACACTTATTCCTGATTTAAATTTTGTCTAAATTACAAGTAAAAATAGGATCGTAACAAACTTGCACGTAAAACTATATCTAGACTTGTAAGTTTATCTTGCCTAAACGTGGCTGTAATTTTACTAACTCGCGCAATGTTCCATTAAACTTACATATTCAATATTATGAATATTTACCTTTCTAAGGAATATGTTATCAAATAACAAGTGACTGTATCAACCTTTTACAACAAACAATTTCACAATATCCTACTAAACGTGTATCTAACGTGGAAAATGCGAACCTATTCTCACTCAAAACTTGGGGATTCATTCGTGTAAATTTGTTCACAGTCAGCCTTTACATTTCTCATTTTTACCTGTTGCGAAGCTTTTTTTCTTTCAATCATTCGAAGTAATCGTATATCTCTTAAATCTCTCAATCCAATTATTTTTTTATAGGTAATTAGTCCATTAATTGAGAGTATCGTTTCTTCAAATTTCATCATCCTCTATGTACAAAGTAGTTCCTTTGCTTTTTACAAAATCATGCAATATCGCATCATCACTATGAATATTCTTTTTCTGTTCTTGTTCCTTCGATACTTGATTATTATATATCAAATTTTCGGTTATTAATGAAATTTCATTGCGTGTTTCAGTCTCGTCCAATTCGTCCCTCGGCGTTTCTATCTCTATCTCCGGGACATTTTCTAATTCAGGTTCCTCAAGTAAGGCATCAACTTCAGTCGGTCCATCGGACGATACATTCGCGGCGATAGGTTCATCGACATCGATCGCATGACTATCGTCAGAGTTGTCCGCTCGACTTTCTTCAGTGTCGAGAGATGCTGCCGTGAAGTACTTGAACTCGGATTCGGAACCGCCACTTTCGATAACAGCTTGCGTGTTCAAAGAGTATCTGCTCGATTGCGCGTCTTTCTGCTGTTTCTCGAAAGATGCTCTCTTATTGTCGTCCGACCTAGAATGGTGCAGTTTCGCTTGTCGTTGTCGTTTTAGATTTTCACCACTGCTTGCCCTTGACCTCATTTCCACTTCGTCAGATAGGTATTTTGTGCAATCAATGGAGAATCTGTCCACTGACAATTTTCTAGGAAAAATTCATTAAATAGTTTAGAATCTCCCTTTTGTTCATTTTTTACTTGATATAAAATTAACACGTGGTGGTCTGTGATGATCATCAAAGACGAAAAATGCTAAAATACTAGGTAGAAAATATAGAAAGGGTATTTCTTTAATAAATGAAAATTGTATTAAGTTTTAATTTATTGTATTGTTGTAAGTTTTAACTTAAAGGTTTATTTTAATAAACATTTAATGTGCATTTTGAACTTCGTTTCGTTTTCTAAGTTCCGTAACAGCTTTTGGTATTTGTACGATACGAAACATGTTATTAAATAATTCTTAATGTTACCTATAATCCCCTCTGCGAAAATCGGGACTCTTCCTGAACTCCAGACTAGCTTTACGTTGGCCCATCATTCTTTCAATTCTACGTTCGCTTCCAGCTTTGTCAAATGACATTTTATGGAAGCTCGGCGAGGAGATTTTGCGGAAGTCTCTGGGGGATATTTTTGTAAGATCTTTCGACGCGGTCAATTCCTCAAATAATCTTATGTCTATCGAGTTTCTTTTTCTCGGTACAAAATCGTCTGGGTATTTGCTGTAGGCACCTGCAAAGAAAAATAAACGAACATTCATAATAAATGTCATAAATCTATTACAAGTCAACGTTACGCGAATGTGATATTTCATTTACAATGTTGATTATAAAAATGAATTCTAAGAATTCATTTGTATTTATAGCATTATGATACTTTTATTTTTAGAAATTGCTTTTATGTTTGAAAGTATTTATTATTCGAATATATTTCGTAATAATATTGCATTTGCGCATTATTTCTTTGATTGATCCTTGATTGGTTAATATTAAAAAGTTCATTACTGTCGGCTGATCTTTTTACTTCACAGTTTCCAACTGACCTGATAACTTAGGCGAATAACCACGACCCGTCGGAGATTTAACTGCTTCCTCAACTTCTTCGACATAATCAACTTTCGTTTGTCGAAGCAGTTGATGACGTCTCGCAGTATCCGATCTATCTTTAACTTTCAACGTAACTGGACCTTTATTAGGAATGTGCAAATCCATTGCCATTGAAACTTGGCTGCCTCCCATTTTTTGTTGATCCAAACTTTCCCTGCTGACCTATTCAAAAAGTTACGTTAGCTATATCCAATCTTATAATAAACTCTCATGACAAAAACGGTCTTTGTCAAAATTTTTCAATTTATAGATATTAAAAATATTAAGTTAAATTGTACACGTAGGTCCCGGCAAAAGACAAATATGAACAAGGGTCATTTTTGTTATGAGTTTAATTGTTTATTAACAAAGAATATACGGCTATTATATTCTTGTTATACCTGATGAGGACTGTAGCTTGGATTATCAACAGAAAGAGCATGCCTCTGTAACAATTCTGGATTTAATAACGCGCATCCAGCGTATTTTGGCGTTCTTTTACGAGGTGATTTCTTCTCAATTAACGTTGGTGCACTGGGGCTTTTCTTAATCGAGTGCCCAGTCTGTTTCTCGCTTAGTTCTTTAGAGAATTGCAAGAACTCCGCGGTCAATTGTTTCCTAGAGACTTCGTGTATGCTTGGACTTGGACTTCTGTTTACTTTGAACACACCGAGTTGGTGATCCCATTTGGTTGTTTGACTAGATGTAGACCTACGATTCCGTTGATTTCTCGTATTTTTTATTGTCGACGTTTGATTAAAGCGAAAACGGGCCGGCACCACTTTGGCAGCGTTATCACGAGCCTCGAAGGTCATTACACAGGCTGCTACTACGATAAAACCTGTGAGATTTCATCGTGTTATTTGTAGACCGCGCTTTAGTAAAATTGTATACCTAATTCGGCAGTTCTTAATGATACTTAACTATCAACGTTAAAAAGAAAGTTAATTGTGATTTTTTATTAACATAGCGCACTTCGAATGATTGAAGAAATTTTTTTAGATTTGATCGAAAATTGAAAGGAACGTTACAGAATATGCTGATAATTAGTTCTTTTTAAATTATTCTTCTGTGAAGAAAAAAATCAATTCGTGAAGCGAATGGGAGAACAAAGCGATAATAGATGGATTAAGTGGTGCGATAAGGCTTTGGAACATTTATCCGTAATGTCGGATGTCGAGAGGAAGCATTTATATGTATTAATTTAGGAATATATTTCAACTTGTATCATATTTTATATTAAATAAAATTGTGAGACAATATTAGTAATGACCTTGCATATACATATCAATACAGACAATTATTTAATTTAAATAAAAATTTGTTATAATTATTTTATTAATTCCAAAGTAGGAAATTTAAATTTTAATCATAACACATATGTGTACAAATATTAAAGAAAAAGTTATTTAATTATTTCAAATTTAAAGAGAAATTGTTTTATATTATGTTATATTTGCATAAATAATAATTAATTTGTGTCGAAGTTTTTATATATATTTTATACATTTTTAATAAATGTATAAAGAATCATGTAAGGAGTTCTCAAGACGTTCGTAATCGTCAAGCCTCCATAGCTCAGGGGTTAGAGCACTGGTCTTGTAAACCAGGGGTCGAGAGTTCAAATCTCTCTGGGGGCAAATATTTTTTTTCACTTTTTTCCAAAAAACTAATATTATATACAATGTACAAGCATTGTTTCAGTCACGATCAAACATTATTTAAATATATTAAAGTTTTAACAATATATAATCTATCCCATTTGCTATCATATTCTACAATATTCTAGATCACTTGTCTTTTATAATTCTTTTTTAGAGATATATATAGCTGTGATTGATAAATTATTAAACGATATATTAAAAATTTTATATTCTTTGACATAATTTTATTCGTAGTTTGTAATTTCGCTGAAACTTGTTTATCTTTACATTTGAAATTAAATACGGAGATTGTGAATAATAAAACTGTTTGAAATAGTTGTTTTGAAACAGGGACGTAGTTTTTGACGTATAGCATTTAAACAGGGGATAATATCATTCAAAAGTTTTTATAAAATATTATCATTACCTCCTACTCCCATTACGATCGGTCCAGCATAACTGAGGTTATTTAGATGGAATCCACGTGATTCATTCTTCACTCTTATCGTTAGATTACCTCTGATTTCTTGTGCCACGGACAGTTGATCTGCGAAGTATCCTGTACGATGTACAAATACAGATTTTTTAAATTTTATTTTTAAAAAGAAACGGAGCTATATCAATACATTATCTGGCTTTGTATGTAAAATGTGGCATTTTATTTGAATTATGAATATATTTGCTTATTAATATAATATAATTTCAACTTGTGCTCTTAATAATTCGCAATATTATTAGTTAATGTTAAATAAGTTGGACGTGGTTCTTGATTAGTAATATCCTAGAGTTCTTTTTGCACATACTGAGCAGTAATCAAAAATTCGCGTGTGATATATGTATTATGTCTGTATAATTGTGTATTGCTTTATGCAGATGTTTTAAAATAATTACACGCATTGAGCAAGCAGGAAATTATTAATCAATACCATGCAGCTATCTTAGTGTTTTGTTTTTCATCTATTTTAAGAAACAACGATGGCACTCGTGATTGTTTACTGTTTCATAACCCTTTCGCTAGTATAGCGTCATAGCTCAAAGCGTTTTTGGTATACAGATTAAAACAGTATTTTTTAATACAGGAAAATTATGCATATAAATATTTATAACGTATCATATAAACATAAAAAAATATAATACAACAAATATAAGTAAATGTAATAAGATAAATATAAATATAATAAATGCAAATAAATATAATATAATGAATACATATATACATCTATCGTAGCAAAAGCGTTAATAAGTACGAAGTTTTAAAATGAATGTGTGATATTATATAAAGATTAATTTATTTCGACCAATAAACTATCTCTAATTATTCAGATAATCTGTAGTAATAATTACATCAATTGAAATTTATTAGTCTTCATAAATCTACTCACCTATGGTCGCCATGCAAGCTCCTAAAACCATTAGTAGTAGACCAATTCCGAGAGCTTTGCAGGCGTACCACAAACACCGCGTTGTCACTTTGCCTCTCACCACCTATTCGATTTAATTGCTTTCGTTAACAGTTAATAACCTGGACGATGTCCAATAACTTACTGGGCACATTCATCGACGCTTCATCATTTCACTTTACCTAGTTCTATGATCTGCTAAAACGATCACATCGATTCGTTCGTCACATTTTATTATCTTCTCTGTGTGATTTAAAGTACACAATACAATAAATAATAAACACAAATAATTAAAACGTATAAATCGATTCTATGTAATAATTTAAAAATTGGAGGAAATTGTGAGAAAAGTACTAAAAAGAACATAAATCTGGTAAAACTAAATTTTGATATAAGAGAAAAATCTTATCGAATGCATGCTTCATCTAATGTTCAAGTTTATTTAGCTACGTGTTAATTATCAAAGATATAAAACACGACTAAACTTATTCGGATTACTTTTTCCTTTACAAAATATAATTTCATCGAGCTTTAGGGAACACAGACTGCTACTTTTATTTGCACGAAATTCTTACCTCGTTAATGTATTGCTTCTCGTATTGCAAATATAGATACCGTAGTCGAGTTTATATGCACAAGAGAGCTTCTGTTTGCATATACTACGGAATAATATCGCAAATCAAATACGTGTTTCAGTTTTGAAATTATATGTGTATGAAGATTATTCAAGTAACAATCTTCCAAAGAGAAAGACATACTGTTCATGTTTATTAATGTATTTCTTGTTGAATATTTCAGTTAATAGTCGAACTGTGCCAACATTTTTTATGGTTACAAATAAGAAAAGAATATTTGTTTGAAACAGAAAACGTTTGGATCATAACTCTATATTCTACTTTTAACGTAATGCCCTGTATAAAAAATATAGTACTTAAAAGTTTTTAAAAATATTGAATTAGTAATAGTGCTATTGTATTTACATATTTATTTTCTTAATACTTATAGTATTATTATTATATGTATACAATAATAAATGTTATAATAATATACAGTAGAACTTCATATATCCGGATACGCATAAATAATTATTTAGCGTCAATTATATAAACTCATAACTGGGCCTCTATCATCCGAACTACGATCCATTGTACTTTACAGTTATATGAACATATATTCTCAAGTAATACACGTTCGATACCCAACTGAATGTTGGGTCAGAATTGTTGTTGAACCTCCGAAGTTGTCCGAAGGTTATCAGCTATCTGACCTAATAAGAGGAATTAGTGGAGTAGCTAGTGAAACTTTATTATCGGAATTTGTCTGTTATCCCAACAACCTTGTCCTCCATGTTCGAATAAACAAAGTTCTACTGCAATTAAATTAATTATAATTGTATAATATATTATAATAATACTATAATAATAAATATTAGTTAAATCGACAATATTCCTAATTGAATTATATGTTAATAATTTAACAATTCTCTCACAAATTATATTTCAATATCTTATTATAAGAAACATTGGTTACTTTTGCAAAACTTCTTTTATTAAGTTTACGAAGGGCATTATGTATTTTCTATTACACTGTTTTATATCTTCGATATTTTCGTAATAAATTTATTTATTTCTACATTTGTTTAGTATTTATTCTTAGAAAATATGTATCAGCATATCTCAACTTTGCGCCAATTTGTACACAAGTCGTGCCTATATTACTATATACGCTCTATTTATATGATATATATCTATAACACGACATAATCGATCAAACAAAAGTGAATGAATTTTATTTCTATAAAAAAAAGCATTTACGTAATTCGATGACTGAACATACATTATACAATAAAATTCTATTTTATTCATTATGATCGAAAAATTATTTTTATTCATTTATAAATAAAAATATTGCGATATCTATAATATTAATACTGGAGAGAAATTTTTGAAAATAAAGATGCAGGTCCAATGAAGTAATAAATTACAAAAAAAAAATTAACACGTAACGTTGTAAATTTCGTATTTATAAATGATAGAAGGTGATTTTGTTTCGAATAAATTCTTAGCGATATATATTAATATATCAATATTAATATTAATTAGAGGTTCTAGTTGGAAGTTTGAAATATACCTGGACATTCCAGTGAGCTCCTGGACCGCAGGCTCTTCTCTGCGTCCCTTGCCAGTGAATGCTTCCTTGGGGCATTTTGCGTTCCTGAAGTTGAATAAATCCTGCATTATTAACAGAAGTTGGTGGTGCAACAAATTTAATAAAAGATACTGTTCTAACAGAGAAGTTAAAGTGAAAACCTAGTTGCGAAGTTAAAATTAACTGAGTTGAAACAAGATAAAACGAAAACACGAAACATTTATCACAGATTTATGTGGTTTGAGATATTTTCACCGTTGTTGCAATACTCAAACGTTTACAGAGTTTAATTAATTTGATTTAAATGTCTTTTGAAAGTAGGTATATTGGTTTTCAATAAAAGTATTTTGGTTCTGGACTGTCGGTAGAATATAGATTGATAGTTCAATTCAAAGATCATTTTTGACTTTTATACATCTAATTTTTATAGAACTGGGAATTTTGCATAGATTCATTGTTTTTTTACTTTACTTCAGTACTTTGTGTAAAATCGATAAACCGGTTATTCCTTTTTTAATTTTCAAAGTACCAACTTAAGGTTATAGTTATTAATTACGGTATCCAACTTTTATACTTTAAGAGTATAAGCATTAAAAGTTTAAAGGAGAATCAATACTTTTAAGCTATTTGGTGTAATAAATTTGGTTGAAAAACTGTGCTATCTTTAAATCAATATTGTCTTTAAATTTTTAATAGTTTGATAACGTTATAAAAGTACAGTAATCTACCCATAACAAGACTTTCAGAACTATCTCAAAATCGTTACAGAAAGCAACTAACGTCTTCCTCGTGGGTACTATGGTTATATCGAATTTAACACTCGTAGCAAACGTTTCCGGTAAACAAGTTACGGCTGTAACTTGTTCGCACGAAAATAGAGTAGTAGCTCACTCAGTGCTTCATTTCATTTAACAGAAGGCGTAACTTCTTGCTCGGCATTCGCTTTAATTCAACTTCGCGATATGTATATAGTACTTGCCTCAGCTTTTACCACCCTCTCATGCTCATTCACTTTTACATAAGGGTAGGTAGACATAGCCCAGGCGCGCACAATACGTCCGTGTAAAATTATCTGTCACTCTTCGATGTATATATGTGCCACGCTCGCATACTACACGCGCATAACAACTAGAAGCATTGTTTGGGTCTGTTTCCTATCTTTTCTGCATCTTTCACCGTAGAAAGTTCCCATTTCGTATCGATCCAAATCCTTCTTTAAGGTTTCTTTCGCAATCTCTGTTTACAACCCGAAAACTTGTCTATTTTCTCTTTCACGGGTTTACTCCGGATTCGAGACCCATTCGAGCTCGATTGCGGTTTCAATCGCGTCTCGAGAGCCTCCGCCAATATATTGCTACCTTTTGAGTTTCACTGCTCCAAGTAATCACGAAATATTTCACGAGAAATATCTATATTAGAACCGTTAAAAAGATATTAATAATCTAAAGCACTTTGAATCGCTAACGAGGAAACTTGGATATACTAATTGTTTTACAATACTATAATCAACATAACGTTTCAGTACATGTAATTGAGATCTAAATGCGGAAAATTGAAAAATATTATACAGTTTGTTGAACAGAAGGACCTAATATTTTAAACGTTAATTATAATACTCTGATTATAATACTCTGAGAAAGTTGATTATAGATTTTACGTTGATCAAACGTAGAATTACGCACTGCCAACTCTTAAAGTTTTCAATTTGTATTTTTTAACGTTCTATGGATATACTGAAATCTGATTTTAACAGGACGTACAAAAACACAGAAGAAGGTTCCTCTGAAAACACAAGAGTTCAGAAAATACAGTTGATATTGTAACATCTGATTTCTTGTTTTTTATTCGTATCGTATCGTGTAACTCGTTCCTAAAAAAGTTCTTTGCTGCTTCTATGCTACGTTCGAACACAATGTTCACAGAGAGGAGTCTTCATTGTAGGTCAAACATAAGCTCCATTGTGCATAAAGTGAGAACTTCCAAGCATAAAAAGATTCATTACAATTATGGCGATTGAAGTTCGACACGTTTCGGGCTTTTAAATCCTTTTTGACGATTGTTATCTTCTTTATAAGACGATAAATTTTTCAGATGCAATGTTCAATCGTATTTTTTCATCTTTTGATATAAATGAGAAATTTATTTAATACAATCATAACACACTGTTATCTTATTGTATATTTACATTTGAGAAGAACAGAGGACGTTTCATCTGAATTTATGGGAATAAAATTGAAAAATGTAAGTAGAAAGAAAAAGCAAAGCTGTGTTGACGCAACATTTTATATGTAATTTCTTTCTATTCTTTTCTATTCTAATTCTTTTTAATGAATTCACATTCACATTGAATTCATGTTGTGATTATGAAAACGAATTTCAATAATTTCTCGATACTTTTCTTTGTTGCTACTTCTCTTCTTCTATCTGGATCCTACGATTTTATCAAATTTGAAAAAATTCAAGTACTTTATAGTGTTATGATGAACTATATTTTTTCAAATCATAAAATTTCTTTTTATGATTACCTGATGAAACAACAACTTTATTCGTGTCCGTTCAATAATATTGCGTTTACGCAATTTCTCTATATATTACTTTACTGCTCAACATGAATAAAAAATAAATAAATTCTACTTTGGTACTGGATACCGCAAAATGAAATACAATATAGAATGAAAGTTTAAATAAAGTTCAAATATACATTCGCCACAACAACTTTAGGCGCATAGTGTAAAACATAGTTAAAATAAATGACGAATTCCATCCGTTGTGGAGTATTAGTTGCTGTAACGATCGAACCGAGCCATTTTCATTTGCATAACCGCAACCTTTGACTACGTTTCAATGTTCTCCTTTGTTCAATTCGACCACGGGTGCAAGTAACAGAATGGTTCTTTTGAATAATTCATGGAAAAAGAATTTGGTATCCTTGTAACTTTCTCTCCGTGTTCTCGAATATTTCATCGTTAAAAGAAGATGTTCCTTCCATTTATGAGATTATTTGTGATAGTCGAACATTCTCGGGAACACGAGCAAAAGCATTCGGCTTTTAAGTTCGCCCTCGAGCAGTGTTTTAATATGCAGAAAGCAGGATTGCTTTTGTGATTAAACTTAGTCCTATGGAAGCGTTTCTTTGAAACGGTACTTACACAGAAACCGTTCACGTGGAACGTAAGATAAGAAATTTCAAGAGAGATAATGTAAGCTCTGATTCATGCTACTATTTCTTAGTTTTAAGCGTTTTAAAAAATTTTATGTATAAGGTTTTGGCGAACTGCTGGTAGAATTCAAGTGAAGTTAACATTCGGATTGAGAATCTCTTAGATAAAATAATTTCTTTATTTAAGGATTTTCCGTTTTTCTGAAAGTAAATTATATCATATCTACATTTGCAAGGATTAAGATCGGCACAAGCGGGATTTATTTGTTTCTATTCACTTTAATTTCGAAATTACGAAAATTTCTGATTTAGAAATGACGTTAAATACAGAAGGAAAAATAAATTCCTTTTTTCTTTACTCACCTTCCTGCCTTTTCGGATTTGTTATCGCAGCATCCTCTTCTATTTTTTCTTTTAACGACCAATGTGTTTGCGTGTCTCTTGTACCATTTTCTCTCTTCAAAACTCCGTTGAAATTTATCGTACAACGAAATAGTCTGTATGTCATAAATTTTAAAAGAAATGTGAACGGCACTATAAGTCGCGTGGTTATGTTCAATCGCGATCACAGATATATGTTTATATATATATATAGAACGTATGAACATCAAAGTACAATCAACTATTGTGAATTCACGGGGTGATAGTTGGCGGACTCGTACCGACGGGACTGCGCTTTATTTTTATTCCAGCACGTGGTATAGGTATGCGAATTACCCCGGGCGAGAAACCTCGGCTCGGAGACGAGTGTAAAATGTACTTAGACCGTAGTTCTTGAACCGCGTTTGTCATTTCAACGAGCTCTCTTTACGATGTCTCCTTAATTCCGTAATTAACGTGGCTGTGTGGAGCCACCGAGCAAACGCCAATTAGCTTCCATGTAAATTCCATTCATGAAACAACTCCACTCGTCGATCTATCCGTGATATCGTCGCGTATCTTTTGTCTCGTTCCTTTCAACAGTTTCTTCTTTCCAACATCTCCCTTCGCAATTTTGGGAGTATCGATTCGAGTTCGCGTTACAGGATAATTTTGTAACTGGCACAACCGGATGAACTTTTGAAAAATACCCTCGAATGTTTTCCTCAGTCACTCGTCTGGACCTGCTTTGAAACGTCTCTTCTGTTTGATATTTTTAATGGATGCACACCGTTCTCGTCTGTATACCAGTAAATGATTCTAATTACGTTGCAGCGCGATGTTTTCACAGATCGAACATGTATTTTCTGCGAAAGAACAACTCAGATGTCATATCGCGTTTGGTCGAGGGAAAAGTTTCATTGAGAGCTAATTCATCAATAACTTATGCAAGTGTTATCTCGATCATTTCTACGATTCCTTTCTTACGAATACAACTTTTCTTTTTTCGAATTTGATTCAACAGAGCTGCGTCCATTAAATGTTTTTATAGGAATTTTGTTGTATTTTCTTACAGTATGCAAATTTTTCTCATGAGTATTACAATGAAAGTTCGTCTTTTTTTTATTATTAACTAGCTTCCTATAGCTACTTACTTAGCTAATACTTAGACACGTCGATCTTATTTAGCAATTTATCGTAGATTAAATTACACGGGAATTTCGTTACATTATAATATAATCAAATAAACCAGAGTCATTTCGCAATAGCGATCGATTGCTCCAATTTTGCATGTTCATTCCGAATTTCCAGATGCTGTTTATTTGCATCGATTGTATCTGCATTATTTATCGCTTCGCACTCTTTATGCCCACTATATTTATTTATTCATTATACGTATGAATATTCTGTACATATTTTTGTTTTACACTTGGTTCCGTAGAATTCTTATATCTTAATTTAATAGTTTAATTTAATAGCTTGAAGATTTTAGAAAGGATTTTTGATATTTGACATCAATTTATTCCTTTGTATAAAATCTACGAAGGTGGAAGAAAATTGTTTGTTCGTGGTTTAATAAGAATGCAGAAACATGATTTATATGTGTTTTTGAAAACGATATTCGACTAATATCATTAATATTTCTACGATAAATTTTGTGAGAGACAGTTATTTATCTCGTAGAAATGCTGAGAAATGTCTTAAGAAATCTTTCAAGATATAAATATCCTGCAGGTTTCTTTCCTCGATGAGATGTTTATGATCTTTGTATTCATTCAAATTCTTAAACTCTCATAAAATACGAGACAAAATTGCAAAATATAAGCTTCACTTTTTCATCGATACTGCAATATCGAATCTTTATTCCGTCTATTTTGCAGCACTATTTTGCAGTCATGTTTCTCTTTATTTTTATTATTTTGCGGTTTTACTATGTTCGAGTAATCAACAAATGGAAGTGTTTTACTCGCCTAACTCCCATTCCCTTAAAACGAGTCCAATGGAATTAAATTTTATGGTCCGCTTAACTCCTGCCTTTTCTCACACGATTCTGCGTTTCATCGCGGAAGGAAGCCACTAAATCTGCACTGGATCATCGTCGGATCGTAACTCTTCTCTGTCCCACCATCGGAAAACGATTCCCACCCTTTCAACCACCTTACGAGACACGCGTTGCTCACAACTTTTGAACTTCGTCGTAGAAAGCACGAGGTGGAAAGCGCGATCACTAGGTGTTTTTAAAGCGGTCAAGCAGAGTAGATATTTGTCGGTTTATCGAAGGTTGATCCTTCTGGCGGTATATTCAGTGTCTCCTAAGGTATCACAGAGTGCTCGACAGAAAGTCTTACGTATAAACTGAAATAAATAGAAAGGAAAGAAAACACCGAACCGATGGAAACTGAATCGTTCACTAAATCATTGCGCGATGATCGAAGACGCGACGCTGATCGTCAATGTTTCAACCGCCACGATTTTCTTCTCTGTTCATCGTTTCCTGCGTCTCTTTAACGAAATCCGGTCCCCCAGCCTTGTCCTCGTTCACCCTGGATGGGTGCTGGCTGTTCGCCGGAGAAGGAAAAACGGCTGGAAACGCTACTAAATCACCGTCAGGATCAGGACTCGGGGGACGACGATCAACGATGCCGCTTGAGGGAGTGTCTCTACTCCTCCAGCATCACCTGTTGGTATCGTATCCCGGTCACGGGCTATACAGGGTGGCAAGGGGAAAATCTGCTCGAGCTAGACGCCGAAAACACGCTTGCGCGAACGCAGATCGATGTGTTATATCGCAAGCTCTCTTATACGGATCCTCTGCTCTAGCTCTGTCTCCTTCTTCTGAACGTTTGTTGCGAATGAGACGTGACGCGACGTCGACGCTTATCGTCGATTTGACGAGTGCTGTTGTGTTTATCGGACATTGATTTGTATCTTCCTTTTTTTTGCTTCTCTTCCTTTTTTCGATAAAACCTTTATGTTCTTCTTTGGTCCTCGTTTCGAGCTGAAGTTGGAATTCGATGATTAAACCAGATTGATGACTTTTGGGAAAATTTTGGTATTAGTACTGTAATTTGGTTTGTTTTATTGATTCAGTTATTTGAAAATGTTTTATTAATAAATAATTTCAGTTATGTTGCGATTTTTCTGCTACGTTGCTACTTTACCATATTATTCCATTCGTTTTCAATCCAACCGTATTTTTCTGTTTCAAAGCTTTCCAAAGTTTCAGAAGAATATGACAGATATAATTGATTTCATGTTTCAATTTTATTCTATTTTGCTGGAGCATTAAAACTCTTTGTTTATTGAACCAAGAACGAGATTGAGAGTAAATTTCAAAAACTGTATATTCAGTCCGAAACGAAATGCCACGATACATTATACGTTTTTAAGCCACAATTAAAGTCGGAGTTAAAGTTGAAAGAAAGCAAACTTTGGTAAAAATTCAATTTAATATATAATATATAATATAATTACTAGATACACATAATATTTTTGTTAGTATAGGTTTTTTTAGTTCAACACGTTTCGAAATTATTCTTTTATCAAATGTTTTTTAAGGTATGCAAAGAACTGTATATTCTTTAACTAATCGATTTTCCGTTATCGATTCTTATATTTTTCTTTGCGCTTCGTTCCAGAGACGGATGACTTCTTTCGACAAGAAATTGTTGCTCAAGTCCATTGGCTCGTAAAAGCTTAGCATGCTACTACTACGTATATTTACTTTTTATCCCTTTAATAGTTTCGATATGTTAGTACTATTTATACGACATTTATTAGACTCAAGAAGATTTGGTTTTAAGAAAATTTTATAAAAGATTAAGCGAGAAGAATTCAATATGCATCAATCGTATAACGTTAATATTATACGTTTAACGAATTATTGTTTCGTATTTATGAATTGTCAGGGAGAGAAATGAAAAAATTCTTTTGTCACTGTATCGACTAGTTTTGTAAATAATGTTTATTAGATAATGCGTGCTTACGAGTATTAGGTAACATAATGTATTCTACGGTCCTTCATAGAAGGTGTACAAATCATTGTTCCAGCAATGTCTTCTAGATTAACATAGATAAAATCATCATCGTTGTCATCGCTATCGCCTTTGTCCTTGTTCGATTCGTTAAATCTATTTCTCTCGCTTGAGTTTGTTACCGTGCGAGCCATTTATCTTGATCGACACTTAAAATCGAATCTGTTTGTCAAACTCCGAGACCATTACTCGCTCTTTTGTTGAATTCTCAGAAATTTTTCCCGCATCCCACGGCAAATATCTTAAAATATCGAAGCGTCAACGGATAGTAAAAAATGTTTCGCGAAGTCAGTAAAGCCGACATGTGCGTGTGGGAAAAGATATTCTTCTGGATGGATCTTTATCTGTTTATTTAAGTACGAGGTTTATTCTTCAGGTTTGTAGTATCTTTTACTTCAAAGAGTTAGAACTTTAATCTAGTTTAACTCATGTTCTAAGAAAAAAAACTATTAAACAAGATCGACTACATCGTGCAACGTGATGAATCACTTTGTTGAACCGAATGGTGTGCTCTTCCTCAAAATCAAGCTGATCAAATAAATATTCGGGCGCGATAGAAACGCGCAGTTGGCCTCCGATTTCTAATAAACATCATTCGATTTTAGTGTTCCGTTACACGAGTCCACGATGATCGATTCAACATTCCCGCGAGTCTTTCAACATCAAACAAACCGAAGTCCCTAAAATTATAATAGCTTATACACGATCTAGGGTTCACCACTTTGGGTATAACTAAAACTGTTGATAAATAACGTATCACTTTTGGATGTTTTCTTTTTCTAAATTCGTCAGGGCCATTCGGAGCGTATATAGCTCGTGAAAAATTGGCCTGACGATTCTTTTAAAAAATGCTCGATTTCTTTCATTTCCCTTTACGTTCGCTCAGTCACTTTTCTCCCTCATTCGCATTCTGCATTCATCCTTTATTTCTATATATATATATCTATATTTGTTTTGTTTTATTTATATAATATATATAATATATATTTTTATGTAGGTAATAGCAAGTAACTTAGTCTTATGTGTCCGTTTCACGTTCGTAATTATAGCAATCTCGAGTCGAATGGAGATTAATTTATTTACGCACGGGATTCTGCATATTCTCACCATTTCATGTTCATAGGATTGTATGCCGTGTATGTGTACATGTATGCGTGCGTATTCCCCAATGATTGTATAAGATCGTGTGAATGTTTGTTGTATTGTATACATGCTTGTAAACGTACTATTTTCTTTAGGTAGTAGGTATCAATAGTGTCTCTTGCTTGTAGCGTTAATAATTAATTTATTAAAACTTTCTATATCATTTTAATCCTCATAGTCTCTTTAATAATCGCCTATACATTCCATCTCGCTCTCTCCCTTTTCTCTCCCTTCCTTATCATCATACGTCTTCTTTACAATCTCTCTCTCTCTCTCTCTCTCTCTCTCTCCCTCTCTCGCTCTCTCGTAAATAGCTGCCCTTTTATTTCGTAAACTCTCTCTTTTATTAGTTTAAATTCATCTAAAAAGATTTTCGCGTGCAGTGTTTGTCGAATAGCTCGAGAATCGATTTTATCGTAACAACAAACTTGTATACTTCCATTTATTTAAAAAATGTTTATTTCAAAATTCGTCTACTTGATAATTTTCTATTTAAAAAAGTATAATTCAATCGTAACAAACAACTAGTTGAGTTAATGAAAATAATAAACATGATATAAACAAAAATGCTTTATTGATGGTTTAAACAGGATAGATTGCCGCAAGTCGAAAAAAAGAAAGATAAAAAATATTTGTAGGATACATTTTTAATATTGGAAAACGTATGTTTCTATATGGATTGGGCTGATCTAAGTTTAGCTTTTTTTCTCATCTATATTGCATCCTGATCTGATTGCATCGAAGCATTATTAAACAATCTAAAATCATCGAATCTTATACACTTTTCTCGAGCGTTCGACATTATAACAGTTTAAATTTAAGTAGACAAGTGAACGAAGTATCAGCATTATGTTTTCTAAGTATTTAATCGATTCCATGTCTAAAAGTGGCAATTGTTGAGAGTTTAAACATTAAATATTAATTTGAATTTTTATTAAAAGTAACTTATAAATCTTCAAACACTAAAACTCGCGAAGGAGAAAGCTGGGATGAAGCAACTTTAAGGGAAAAGGAAACGTTAGAGAGGAGAAAATATCTAGAAAAGAAAGCAGCCTACAAATTCAATCATTTAGGTAATAGTTTATAAATATCTAAATTATCTAACGATTATTATCTTTACCGAATAAATAGGGAAAACACAATTCTGCAACTTCGTTCAATTTATCTCTTCATACGTACATTGGCTACAAAATTTTTCGCCACGAATGGTCGTAAGTATTACATTCTCGAGGAATAAAGTGAAAAATTGTAGCCAAGATCAGACAGAAACGGCTTCAAGTTTTCTCAAGTTTCGGTTTTTGAAACTGGTTCTCTTGCACATCCCCTGTTATATACATCTGTGGATTACACGTCGATATATCCTATTTACATGCGCGTGTCTCGTCTTGCCAAACTTGCCCTTTTGTGCGTTTGGACATGTCGGTTGTAATTGTATATAATATAGTAAGTTACAATATTATTAATCTGAGTTTCTAGGCAGTTGTGTGTTGTTTATGTTATGTACGTTAAGATTTATCTCTAAGGTTCTTCTGTTTCTCTTTCTCACACTCTCTCACACTGTTACTCTCTCTGTTCAAACGTTTTACTTTCGCCCTTTACACGAACAATTGATTTTGGCCTCTGTTTTCTTGCTAAATCGGTTCAGAAAAGGTAAGTTCATCTACGCATGCGTGCTTGATCGTTTCGCTACTTAATTCATAGAAAATGAACACGTTGAACAGTTTTCGTTCGACGTTCGAGCCTTTTAAAAAGATCTTTCAGCGTATCGATACTCGACTCACAAAAGAAAATCATCGATAAATAAAATTTGCAAAAATAAGAATTCGACTTGATTCTCACGCGAGAATAAAAAAATGTAAACAAATGTTTGCCTTTATCTTCTTGAAATGCTCGAAACATCGATTTCCTTCAACTCGTTCGATATTTCTCTTGATTATTATACGACGATTTATTTCAACCGTATCCATTTCTCATTCTTCCACTTGCACTCATGTACTCATGCACGCTCGCAATGATTATCTAGAGTTTCCTCCCTCACGAGTCGATTCGAAATTAATTTCTTTTCGGCATCTCACGCGGCTTCGAAACCCATCTTCGGCAATTTTTTTTTCGCCTCGAAGGAAAAACGTGATCTCTTCTTCCCCCTTATTTTTTCTCCCCATTTTTTTCTTTATACAAAGAATACACCGTTGCGGCTATACGAAACTAGAACGGTATCATTTTGTCTACATGTGAATAATTCCATGAGTCGTGTGGTTGTAACGCTATCGTAAACACAAGAGTGAGTCTTGTTTCCATCTCCATGTCCCGATCAATGGTATTGAGCAATGTACTGCCGTCGAATCAATCGTTTGAGAAATATACTTCGTCTCCCTCGAACATCGATCATGAAAAATTTTGAACAGCTATAAATAATGTACCATCGTTGATAGAATGTCGGAATCAAAGAAGCGAATCAAATACGAATTTCCTTTTCTTTTTTTAGCATTCGAAGAATTTATTGTTCTCGACGCCAAGTATTTCTCAAAGAATCGATCCAATCAATATTTTTAACGTGCTAGACTTACTCTTTACGAATTAGAAATCGTAAATATCGTCCTATTGGTCTTTTACACTACTTAATCGTTCACTACATGGCGGTTATCAGTGTTATTGCTGCTAAGAGTTCGTTCAACAGGATCCTGCTGTCTCGCTAAGGTTATTTTATCGGTAGACAATAAATTCTGCTTGTCGATTTGAAATTGTTATCCTTGTCAGCGCCGAGGAAAACGCAAGCGTACGTATTTTTACTTCGAGGAAAAAAGCTTCCACTAACGATCGTACTCAAGACCTTTCGCTTCGTGTAAAGTAATTAACGATCATTCGCTGTATAAACCGATAGCCTTTAACGCAATTGTTGTTCTCGACGTCCTTTGCATTTCGCGATATATTGTGCATATTTGAGGGACTCAGTGAAAAAGTGGTACAAGCGAATTTTTTTTCGGCACTAAATAGGACAGAAATATGAAGAAACGATATCTGCGTTTATGAAGAACGTAGAAGATTTTGCTATGAATAATCAAACCTTTATAGGTATAATAACGAGTATTGTTATTGTGTATAGTTGAAAGAATAGGAGTAGCAGAGATTTGTTTTAGCTAATACGTATTATAACAAGTGATAGTGCAAGTACTTTGGGTATTTTATATACTTTTTATATATTAAATGTATTCTATCCATTTTTGCATCTTTAAATTTCTCATAAATGCATAAAAATCCGCAATCTAACGACGTGTCTTAATTAGAAGCATATGCATTTCTTTATTAGAATTTAATTTTATTTATAGTTTTCTTAATTGAGAATTTTTTCGTTCGTACTAGTTTTCCTCTGAACCCTTCTTTTAATCCTGTCGAATCTATAGACGATATATCTCTTAAAATTTTCTTTTGTACAAAACGATACTTAGTTGTATTAGATCGTTCAATAAGTTTGTATAGCGATCCGTGTTTACTTTTCGTGATGTATTTTATGTACGTATTGGGTAAGCGACTAGAATGACTAATCTTGTGACATAGAGTTGAAGAAAAGATATGAAGAAAATAAATGATAAGTACTACCCAATAGTGCAATAAGTTTTTGATCAAATGCGACGATATTAAACTAACTAGAAATACTAATGTTTTTGAGATGTAAAACGTTATAAATACGAGACACAGGAATCTCAACAAAAAGTAAAGATTTAATTAATGACGTTAATTGACGACGAATTAAACACGCAAGATATATCGTCCAAAGTGTTGCAGAAGCATCGTATGGCGAGATATTTTGTCCTTAAATGCGTCTGTGGATACAAATGGGTTGATACAGAACGAATTTTTGTTAATTTCTTCACCATGGATTAATCTTCTACCAGAGTCGTAGAATGGTGCTGCGAGTTGTCGAAGGCGCCTTGGTTTCTTTTATATAATATATGTATATAATATATATATGTATAGTCGTTAACAATGTTAATTACAGGTACCTAAAAATTTCTCGCACGCGTTCCCCACGTCGGAAAAAAGTAAGAAAAGTCGAAATGTTCGTACAAGCTAGGACAGTCTACTCTAGTTTTCGGTATCATTCGCATCTTTTGATTCGCAGTGCGTTTTTTGCCTTTCTTCTTTGTGTCTTATTTTCACAATCGAGCGTTCCGTTTGCTATCTACCGGTGATACTTATCGTGATATTACAAAGTCGATAATGGAAAAACGTCGTTACGAAAAAATCAAAGACGCTTGCGAGAATTTCGTCGAGTAAACGCTAGGGAAATCGGTGTAATATTTGATGTATGCGAGCACGACGTTATATATATTTACAGTGTCTGCAATAATAGTAATTGATCCGATATTATTTCCCAATGTTTCACAACGCGTTTCACTTCGCAGCTCAGCTTTTGCCTCGTTCAAAATTTTCGCATCCTTCTCTTCTTGATCCTCAGCGCGTATCGTAGATTTTCGGATGATTTAGGACAATGTCCGAGAGCGATTGGCAAACCAGATGAAATATTTGTTTAGTACTTGCTCACTGTCTCTAATTTAAGTTACATCCCAAAAGAAGTTCCCTTTTCTAGATATGTAGAAGTATTTTCTACGTGTTCTCATTCCCGAGTCCTCGGTTTTATTTTACGATTTATCGACTAAAAAGTTTATTGCTACGTCTCGACTACTATATCGAAAAGGGATTTCGGCAATTATAGTTTCTCATGTCATAATGGTTCAGTATAAATTGGCTTGGCAGTGTTTCATATTGGTGAGCATAATAAATAGACCTGCCAATTTATCCGGATTTTTAATGCTTGATCTAATTTAGATAATATTCAAGTATCCAACATTAACGTCATTACGCCAAAATGACCAAGCTAAGTAGAGATTTGATTAAAAATTTCATATTGAATTTAATCTTCTATCGAAAAAGGAAATTTTAGATACAAAAGCATTTAGTATAATTTAATTCTATTCGGTTATTAGTTGAATTTTCTACTTAATTTTCTAGTTAAAGAAAGGCGCCTGTTACAAGGATGTTTTATATAGATTGAAAATTATCCACTGTGATTGAAATCTAAAGAATTTAGAAGAATTTAGTTATTTAAAATTCAAATGTAACACTACTATAAAAAGGTAATTATCTCATGTGTGTTTTTAATAACGCACAGTATGCATATACATATGTATGCAAATCTAAATAATGATAATTGAATAGCGCAGTTGATTCTATGAAATATTCAATTTTTTATATAAATATTAATTGAATATTCGAATATTATCGATATCCGGATATTCGCAGTCCTAACAAGGTATTTCGTTTACAAATGAACCAGCAGTTGCGTCAAATAATTGCGTCATGCATGCGTAATAGAAGCCTCGTTATAACAAACGTTATAAGAACATTTTTAAGGATTTCAGTCGGAGGTTGGAAACATTTAATAAGTGACGAACAAGTCTTTCCTCTTAATGGTCTTTGGTGACGAACTCTAAATGACAAAAATTCTTTGTCATTTGTAAATATAGAAACTCTAAAAGCTTTAAACAATCGTATATACGTAAATATTGGTTTCTGTGATCTGGTTTCAAAATTTCTAATTAAATGTTATAAAAGTTTCATTATTTTCTCGCCGGTTTTTCTAGTTCTTCGTTTTTTTTTCTTTTTTGGTTTTTCTTTAATTCCTTGGTCTTAAGCGCACTTGTTAAGTTGACAAGGAGCAAGCATTCAAATGATTATCTGCGTCTTTAAGGGTATAATCTTCATATCATTCGTATTAAAAAAGAAAGTATATCAAGGATAGGTGTAATATTTGGGAGATTCGTCTATTTTATATAGTAGTTATATCGAATATATCCTAATTGCTCCTCTATGTCAAGGATATTATCATGCAGTTGTAAATTAGAAAATAAAATTTATCAAATCATTCAACGTTAAATCATGATTAATAGATCTTTTCTCTGATTGACATTTGAACGCGTGCCACCTAGTATCCATCGCTTGAGATCTTATATAATTATTCCAAGGTAGAAGTATCGAAAAACATTTATTGGATTTCTGTCAGGATAATACCGAGGGAACGTTTCTTAAAGAGTATCCTCGTTCGAAAGAAATTCTTCCTAGCAAGCATTTTTGGCCGCCTCGATTGTCCGCATCATTACACGCTATTCATTCAGGAACGCTTTTTCTTACGCTTATAAGTATTCATCTATGAATATCTTCAGGACGAGCTCAGATTTCTGTATAATATTTCTATGTAGATGAACACGCTAATAAATACGGTTTATGCTATAAATAAATTTGCCGTTGAATATATTTATGTTCCTATAAATTTCCAGTTCCTATAAATTAACAGTTTCAGTGTTAACACTTTTATAAACGAAATAAAACAAATGTTCGCGGTTTCTCAGTAAAATTCCTTTGGGAGGTAATACAGGCGCAGTGTGTATCAAAAAGCTGATTTCCGTAGATGCAATCGATACAGGGAAACAAATAAAAAGTTCTCAATAATTATATATCTGCTTGATAGTATGGACGGACGTATCCAGCTATTAAAATAGCAGCAAATTAACCATTATACGTTATACAGATATGTTCTTTCAGCGAAGTGCGATAACAATATGAGGAACAAGATAGTTTGTTCATAAAGTTAGTCAAAAATGGCAAAAAAAAAAAATACAATCGCATAATTCATGGCGGCGCGGCGTGTGAATGAGAGGAGAAAAAGATAAGGAAGGAAATTGAACTTGTCCTGAAGATGATCGTTCAACACATGGTCTCGATCTTATCAATTTTCACAGATGGAACGTACGTTCTTGTTCAATTTTTCATCTTTCATAAGGCGCGATCGAGTTCCCCGGAGAACTCAAAAAGATGTTTTCAGGGAAAAACGATCTTTCAGCTGATCCAGTCCGCACGTTTACAGGGTCCTATAGTTCCATGAGACGTGTCGAATCTTCGGCGATCGTAGAAAATCGAGGAATCCTGCTGTGAATGTCCTCAAAGAAGATCAAGACGCTCCGTAGACGCATGCGGAGTTGTCAGGTGGACTGATTTTCTCCACTGGCAATACTGCCGCTCTGTGCCATTCGTCGCGCACCTAAAATTCCATTTTTTTAATAGCTAAGAACGTACGGCAATATACATAAATATCGATAGAATTTAAATAATAATCTCGCGTAGAAGGCAAATTTTAATTGCTTTGGAATCTTTGAATTATTCAACGTTTTATGAGTAACAAACTCTAGGTTATAACATTTTGCATATTTTATGATAAGGACATTTTGTTTATCTTAGAGTCCTTATTATTTTAGCTAATTTTGTTTTTAAAATTTTAGTTGGTTGTCACAACAAATTTTATCCGGTAAATCTTATAAATCGTAATAAACAAATAAAGATAATTTCCATGTTATATTCGGAATACGAACTTTTAATATAAATTTATATTATATGTACTGTAGTATAAACTTATCCATTCCATCTATTCCTCTTGAACAAGTATATCTCCTATACAATTAGCATAAATCCTATTTTACTCTTTGATTATATCCATTTTAATTAATTGGCAAGAAATATAACTCACCTGCTCGACCTTAGCGAATACCCTCAATAAATTGAGGCCAGCTAGCTTTTTAATGTCTTCCTCCGTCCACGTTGGATCCTCCAGCAGAGTAGCCAACAATTGCGGATACCTCGAAACATCCTCCAAGCCGGTAGGAGTGCTGAAAAGTGCATCGATAATCGCAGTGTCGGTTTATTTGATTCATAATGACCTCTATCATTCAGAGAATAGATGTTCGACACTAAAATTCGTTTCAGCAGTCTCGTATCAATGGAAGCAATTTTACGATTTACGCGTTCGCCTAAGTGTTCATTGTGTGTGCCAGTGAAATGTTGGCAAACTCCCTCCCCATAGATACAACAGTAATTGCTTCATTGAGCCGAGTATCGATAATGATTATTCTCTGAATGCGCGTTGTTGCGCCGAGGATACTCGAAAGATAATTACAAATTTATCCCGTCGAAACCGGCTCCTATTCCAACGTGATCGATCCCCGCCACCTTTCGAATGTGATTGATGTGTGCTGAAACAGCATGGTCGTCCTTAATAAACTTGGTCGTGCCGTGGCATTTGAAATGTGGATTTTATTATTTTCAACCTGCACCGTCATTACTGTACTCCATTTGAACAAAATGCGTTTCTGCTTGATTGTTAATTGGTCCCGGCGCGCGTGTTAATCAGTTTCACATTAATTTACGTGAACGCGATCGAACAGAAGAAACGAATCATTGTTCAGCTCGAATATAAATGTGTTTTATCAACATAGTAGAAGTCAATCCATTCTTATATTTATTGTTTTATACCATTCTTCTCGATAGGACTGTCGCGTGTTCATTTCGCTGAAGTTCGGACTGGAGAGATTTCCGAGGTAATTTTTCGGAATTTCAAGGATTCTAAGTTCCAATTATTTTTGAATTCTCAGCTCCTACACAGAGCACGGTGATCTCAATCTTTCAGTCAACAGTCCAGTTATAAATTATATTATCTTGCGTACTTCGCAAATCAGTTCACAATCGATGTTGAATTTTAATCTTTACTTTTTAGAAATATCCATATTTTCAGTATTTGCAAAGGTTTGACAACATTTATCGAAATAATAAATTCAGTATTCGAAATTAAATGTTTTTATATCAAACAATCGTGATTTGTAAAATGGACCATGTTATTGTGTAGTGGAAAGGATTTCAAAGCTAATAATTGCAATGCAGTTTCTCCTACAGCCGACTATTGCTTTAAGTAAGAAAGAAATAACATATCGATGATGCTTTACGTACCAATAACGTCTTTTATGGTGGCTGTACTGTTGCACGTTATGAAGTATGTATAAAACGGAACCATTGCTACACCGCCATTTTTAGCCTGCGAACAGATGTATTAACCTGAGATATGCCAAAATTGTACAGCTCTGAATATTATTCGCGCAAAGAGAAGCGATTGTAAAATGGTGCGGAGAAGAATAAAGCGGTTATTTCATTTTCTGCGAATATACAAAGGCATTGGATTTTTATTGTGTTTTCAAAAAATTCTTCTCATTCCTGCAGTATACATATGGACTGTTTCAAAAGATGAATATAGGTAAAAAATTTAGAAAGCTGTTGGTAGTTTATAAAATTCATAAATAGAGTCGACAAAAAGCTATCAATTTCAGAGTATGTGATAACTGTTGAGGTCAGTTTGTGGAAAATGCGCATATCGTTCGTAATTCAATTCGTTATTTATGTAGGATAACAGCTTTCGGATAAATTTAGTAATTTACCTTGACGTACTGTATTACGTAATTTACAAAATGTATCTACAGAACGCAATAGCGCACAATTAACGAAATCTTTAAACAAAAATTACATAGATCGTTCGAATAAAGTATTCGAATCTGTAAATTCAATTCTCTAATTGTCAAATCTGAAAAGCACAAGATGCTATGATAAAGTATTCGCGTGACACGCAAGCTTTTGGAAGCTACAGAAAGTAACGGTTTACATCGATTCGTAGTTTACGATTTCTCCGCTTCAATCTACGATTCGAATGTTCTATGCTGTTGGACGATATTAAAAAAGTTGCGATTCGAGACGGCATACTTTCTGAAATGCGACTGGGAAACGCACGTTGAAATTCGATGAGCTGGTCGCTTGTTCAAATCTGGGACGCATTCGTAGCTTTCCATATTGATTTCGTCCAGAGTCCTTTTTCAAAAGACAAACGGAAACGACTTTGGCTACCATCAGAATCATCTGTTTCCACTTGCTTTTATGTTCCTGTTCTTATAGCGTTGGTAAAGGGGACATCTGAAGATCTGCACGCAATCGATATTATAGGGTAACAAAGAAATCGGTGGTTATGTTGCAAAAAGTTTACGCGTCTGTTCTTTCTCCGGAAGTTTTATTTACTATCTAGTATAACTACGTTAGATTGTAAAAGGAACAACTTCCTCGTTGTTAGATGACAGAGTCATTGATAATTTTCTATTTCAAGCCGACTTTTTGAAGCATTTAATTTCTTTAGTTGTGTGATTTTTTCAGTAGACCGGTGGAATGGGTCTTGCGGTCAGCTCTTGAATTGCTCGCCAATAAAATTCGAAGAGATCGTAAAGTTACTCCAGAGGAATGCAATTTCACTTCCATTCCGCGGAGACGGTACACATTGCATTGAAATTTTAATACCACCAACTGCTATAAATCATATTCCTCGCTTACTAGGATTTTTGAACAATTGATTCGGAATTCCATGAAACATTTAATATCCACGACGCGACGTGTCCGCGCGTCGTGTCATCGGAAATCGCCGTGTTTCCCGATACAAAATTTTGCTTTTTCGAATTTTGCCATAGTACAATGAAAACGTTTCTCTCGCTTGACGTTATAAAGTTCGTTCACCAATGCTTGTCGCGCTTAAATTTGGCATGAGGTTGCTTTACTCCTTTCCGATGATATTTAGATGAATATTCATTTGATCTATCCAATTTTAATTTGCGCCATTAACCAATAATTTAGCAGCTTAAGCGGAATTTATAAGTGGAATTTACGTTACTCGCATATGTTAAGATTAGCATTACGAGAAATTATTTAAAGCTACTCTGCAAATTCTCTTATCAATTTGCATGATAGAGATTTTACGGATTTTACGGTACAGTAATCGATACACTCTACTTAAAAAGAAAAGTTAGCTATAGACATAGAATCGGTACGAAAGAAGCGCGATAAACTACTCTAATTTCCTCCATTTAGCTGACCTCTATATTCCTCGTTCAACTTAACTTTATAATCCGGTCCAAGATAGCAACGCAGCTACATCTGGCCGATTCGTCAATGCCGAACTTTTGATGAAAATCTAAAGAATCTCCTAAAGTACCGGACCGATTTTTATCCGTTTCGGTTAACACGAAATGCTTGGAGCTAGTGCGCCATGGCCATCCAGTTTTATCAGGATCTTTTTATCTCTACCTCCTATCGACAATTACTGAATGTGCCAATCGAGAGAAGAGACAATGCCCTCCCGTCTAGTCGATACCTGACCTGACTTAAACTATGAAGTAGCCAGCGTTAATTGGGGCAGCAGTGTGGCACAGCTAATAACATGTTACCAGACAGGCCATCGTTCGGCCTCTGATTGGTGTAACTCATCCCCTTGTCGCTTCGTCATGATCGAGCCAGTATTGATTGTACCGGTGAAGCAAATAAGAAACACATATTGATTCTCTCTTGTAAAGATACAATTAGCAGGGATTTTAATCAAACTAATTGGATTAGTAGATATTGCTTGCCTCTTAATATCCGACTGTGATTTGATTTTCATATAATTCAAATTTTATTTTAAGAATATTTATATAATGTTTCACTGTTTATTTTTAAATTCTTTGTCAAGTTCACATTAAAAATTCGCGCGCCTATTACGAATTTTATACAAAAAGATTTTCCATATACAAAAAAGAATTAATAATAGCCAGTCGAGTGCACGAACGCATGGTTAAATGGAATTTAAGGCATTGTTGTCGTCGTCTCAAATTTAATCCGATAGATTAACTTGAAGCATCGACACAGGGTAATTGTCATTTCGACGTCAGTGATTGGCAGGCGCAGCGATAGGATTAAATTTTAATCGAGCTTTGCACGCGAGACTTAATCACTTACAATCAGTTTACCCAATGTTGTGTCGTTAATGTGAAATCACTTACGAATCCAATAATTGTGGAAGCTTGGCCACACGCTACAGCGTAAATTACTGCGAGAACTTTGTGCTTCGAATGAAAGATCATCGCGATTCGAGTTTCTTCTGACTTAGAATCCTGATGATTTATTTCTTCGGCTTTCTAACTTTCGTACGCGAACTCGACGAAAACCGTGGAGAGTATTACTGTCCGAAAAGGAAAGTTTAACGCACGTAGAGGGTCGTAAATATTTAGATAATTGTTTAGCCCGAGTGTTTATGATGCATGGGAACGTTTTAAAAACAGATTGTACATTCTCATTGGCCAGTTGACTTCCTTGTCGGATAAATCATGTACCTTCACGTATTGTAATCCCAATTTAATCCTACAGAATTCTCTGCAGAACCATTTTTTGCCAGCCTCATTGACCCAGCTCGTATATTATTTTATACGAGTATCCCGTGTGACTTTTTTCCACCATTATCCCAAGCGCGAATTCCGCGCCACGTTGAACATGTACTTTCTGCCCTGAATATATCCTCTTGGTTGTTTCGAACTCGCTTCGAATTTCCCTCTTTTTTCATCCCCTATGCTTTTTTCTCGATTCGTTTGCACGGATCTGACACATTCAACGGACGAATTCACCCCCTTTTCCTTGTTGTTCAGCTGACGTTTCAACCGCTCGACTGGTTTCGAATTTCAGACAAGAAGACAGAGGAAGAAATAGATAGATAGATAGATAGATAGATAGATAGATAGATACGATAGATAGATAGGTAGATAGATACACGGAGAGAGAGAACAGAGAGAGAGAGAGAGAGAGAGAGAGAGAGAGAGAGAGAGAGAGAGAGAGAGAGAGAGAGAGAGAGAGAGAGAGAGAGAGAGAGAGAGAGAGAGAGAGAGAGAGAGAGAGAGAGAGAGAGAGAGAGAGAGAGAGAGAGAGAGAGAGAGAGAGAGAGAGAGAGAGAGAGAGAGAGAGAGAGAGAGAGAGAGAGAGAGAGAGAGAGAGAGAGAGAGAGAGAGAGAGAGAGAGAGAGAGAGAGAGAGAGAGAGAGAGAGAGAGAGAGAGAGAGAGAGAGAGAGAGAGAGAGAGAGAGAGAGAGAGAGAGAGAGAGAGAGAGAGAGAGAGAGAGAGAGAGAGAGAGAGAGAGAGAGAGAGAGAGAGAGAGAGAGAGAGAGAGAGAGAGAGAGAGAGAGAGAGAGAGAGAGAGAGAGAGAGAGAGAGAGAGAGAGAGAGAGAGAGAGAGAGAGAGAGAGAGAGAGAGAGAGAGAGAGAGAGAGAGAGAGAGAGAGAAGGAGAAGCACGTAATGCGTTTTCATCAAATCCTAGAACGAGGCTGGACCGGGCCAACCCTGAACTTTTCGAAACACCCGACCTGGTTCTAGTCGCGTGTTTACTGACCTAAAACCAAATAATCTCTTCGTTGGCCAACGTTTGCGAACAGTTGGTCAAAACGGATGGAAAGGTTAGGAATACTCGTATGTATTTTTGTACACATATACTTTCGAACTATAAGTAAGTCAATCACTCGAAGCAAGAAGTGATAGCCGATGATAGAGGAAACATTTTGATCTAGTGACTACAAAGTTTAGTTTCGACTATTAGACTTATTGCTGGGCTATTTACGAATGTATATATATATATATATATATGGGAAATATAAATGTGCATAAATGGACAAAATGTATAATTAGGATTTAAAATTCATATTTATATTCAATATCAATTTCAACGCCAAAATTAATATTAATATTAACTATTAATTTTTGCATTAAATATTAATATTAATTTTGACATTAATCATTAAAGGTTTACATTGAACATTTATAATTTATTATTTGATGTTACATTGTATAGCTTCCATTACTATAGAACGAAAGTAGATTGAACGTAAGTTTACTAAACGCGAAATATTTCCTTTATGTTTTTCAATCTTACTCGACCGATGTGTAATTTTAAAGTATCTCATGTCCTTGACATTATAACTAGCGTTACTATGTCCACATATTTCATTAACTTTAAAAATTATATCGCTGTAATTGATTTCTAGAGTTCGCGCACGCTTTTCAAAATTTGTTATTTAACATTAGAATGCCATGAACTTTAAGTATATATTATCTGAAAGGGGATTAAACTTAATGTCGGTTCACTAACTTTCAATGTAGCAGTTGGAAAACTGTAACTAAAACGTTAAAATTTATCGAGCGACCCAAAAAGCTACGACGACGCGACGGTCGGTAGTGGGTTAAGCATGGATTACATCATAAATGCTCACTAACAATTTTATCTGCTACCGTATTTACGCTCAAACTGAATTATTTTCTCCTGCTTTTTTGCGTACAAAGACCATCATTTTGGGCGGACCAACGAGATTGCTTGGAGATTTTAACAACGCTGAGCTTGTAAAAGATACGCGACAACTAGATTAGTTAGTGCTTCAGTTTATTTTTCAAAATGTGGTATTGATATTTATAAATTTTTTATTTTCTGGAAGAAGTATTCGAACGATTATCTATTTACCCCTGTCCAGCCTGGAAATTAGTTAAATTCAAATATACTTGACAAATTCTCGAACTCGATTTTCTCGAAAATCAAGCCTGGAACGAAAAAGATTTATGCTATACATTCGTTTCTTATTTTTTCGCAAGGAATCACCCGAGAAACATGTTATACATGTTATTCGGCTGCACTTTATGTGTTATATAATGAAGTTAATTATTGAATATTTTATGACTCTGAAACAGATAAAATAAAATTGTCTTTGAAAAGCGACACTTATTATTGTTACAACCAAATAATTACTGTCTGTTAAGTTCAACAGTCGCCGTTGGCTTTGCCCTAGAAATTCAAAATGCAAAATATGAGGTTACCTTATTTATGACTTGATATATTTCTACTGGCGCGCTTAACGATAATTTACCAGAAATTTTTCAGAATTATACGACGTTGCATATTTCAGAGCAATCAAGAGTAGGAAAAACATTGATGACTGTATTTTCCACGACTCTACGGCTTGGTCCAGAACAAATTCATTGGTCTTAATAAAATATCTACTTAGCTCCTCCGAGACGTAGAAAAACTCGTAACCGTAATGTTAGGATTTTTATGTTGGTTCCTATCTCCTATATCCGGTTAATAGTTTCTACGCGGAAAATGTACATAGACATGTGCATACAGTGTTAATCATGCGAGCAAACTTTATACATGTTACTCTAAGAATCGCAATAGATTGAAATATACTACACCATAACAATAAATTTTCGCAAAATATTATATTCTATTCGCACTCTTTTTCTCCCGCAATGTTGTCTTTGGCATTCACATTGTTGAACATTTCTTTAGTCCATGAAATTTATCTTGTTTTAATGATTTTAAAAAGTTTAATAAAACGCGGTTTAACAAATCATCAGTGATTACCGTGACAGTCAACGTGTGAACAATTGAGTAACATAAAAAGTAGAAAATCAAGAGAAGTGGACTTATCGAGTAAATGGATGAAAGTAGATAGTGAAAACACATTTTCGACCATCCATCGCACATTTTCTATAGCTGGTCAAACTTGCTCCGTTCGTATGCAACACGCGGCACCCTGCTGCACTCACTGCATCACTTCGTGCAGGCGTCGAGTGCTCTTGGCGGTTCAACTCTTACACCGCGTCGCGGCGCCTTCAGATGAACTTACGAATGTGTAAGTCGATTTTTCTCCTTCCATTTTAATTCTTACCCCCTCTCCATCTACCTTCCCTTGGTTTACAACAACATTCTGCGCGACCTTCCCTTTTTTCGTCCACGTTCGTTTCCGACAAAAAGGATATAACCTAACAAACACGAAGATGGTACTCCGCTGGGGCTAGCCACCCACATGTTATATTATTATACCACTAAGCTATAATATTTTACCAAATGTCCTATTGGACAAATTGTAAAATTTAAATAAATAAATAAAAAAAAAACGTTCGTTTCCGCAACCAAATACTTGGCTTTTTACGACGTCGTTTCTTCTGCTTTGTCCTTTTCTATAGGTTCCTTTGCTAATTGATATACAGTGTTTCTCCTATCATTTGATACTTCTGTTAAATGATACTGTATTTATCGAGTTATTGTCGGTTTGTAGCGAAATCGAAGAATTTCAAAGTAATATATTTATATAAAAATAGCAGTTTCTATAGTAAACATTTTTTAAAATGTATACGCTAGTCAATATCGAACGATCTTATTATTCAGCGCAATATATATTATTACATTTAAAGAATAAGAAGTTTGGGGTTGAATATTCCAGCTTCATCAATACGTAAAATTTAACATTGTCTTGTTGTATTTAATTATTTTTATGCTTGTCGTATTTAATAGTTTCTATTTTATTTTACATATATATATTTTTTTTATTAATTTTTTATTGAACGCTCTGGCAGTCTTTCGATACTACGTTTTATTGTCTAAAGGTTACGGTTGAAAAGAATTGAATTCTACTGGAAACAAGGATTTATGCAGTGTCCAATTCGTGGAAAGGGAAGCGCATAACGTTCGTCTGATCGAGTATCGAAATTGGCTTAACCTTGCCGCACTATCCTATCGCATTTCCATGCACTCCTAACTTTTCCATGTCGATGTGGTTGCACGGGAACTTACCAGATTTCTAAGCACGTCGTCTGGCACGTTTCTAGTGGAATTGCAAAGTGCCCTGGCAGCACTGTGAGAGAAAATCACCGGTGCCCTCGTCGTCTGCAGGGCCGCCCTCATAGTCCTTGTTGAGACATGAGAGAGATCCACAAGCATTCCCAGTCTGTTTAGTTCCCTGACAACTGCCTGAAAAATAATAAGATATAAGTATGCATATTTCATGCTTGATTTTTGTTAACCCTTACTCTGTAATCGTCGACCCTTTCTTTTGAATAAAAAATTGCATTTTCTGCAGTCATTGCAAAAATTATTGTACGAATACAAATACTTCTATACAGAGAGTTTTCACACTTTTATATACTTCGAGTCCTTTGAACTTCATAAAATGATAAGAACTAGACGGACGAAAAAAGTAGCGACGAGAAAATTGACTAATCTCTTTCATAGAAGATTACTCACTTTCATAACCACACCGTGAGAAAAACGGACAATACAATAATGGAAAAAGAAATTTCAAGCGAAATGTTACGTTAACACAACGTTGACCTTTAATTAAATCAGCACATCACTGTGACACTACTGTATAATTTCAAGAATAATTTCAAGGAATTATCGCGTACGTTATCACCGCCCACGTGACTGAATTAACTCTTGGCTCTAGGTAGGATAAATACCGTAGACTGTTAAACGTGCCGATGACGTGGCCAAATAATTGTCACGTATTTAAAGATCGACAGAGGTTGGCTTTCGATACGTGGATTTGGTCGAACCGCGTGTAATTCCATGAACACGGTTAGAATGCAAATTTTCATGCTGACCACCGCCGCCAAAGAGATTACATGATTTTACAGTTTGCATTACCTTCAGCCACGGCGAACTTTATTCGTACGCAAAACGACTCGAATTTCGTTTCAGCAGCCTAGTTTTCGAGCAGCCACGTGTTCCTGTTTTGCATTCGCCGCTGCCACGGACATTATAGAAATTAACTGACATAACGGATGGCCGTGTATTCTGTCATGATGCATACGTATACGTGCTCTTTAATTAACAGAACGAAACTCACAGAGCGCAACATTGACCGTACAAGGTTGCGTTGCTCTAACAATCTTTTTTTCACCCTCTCCAGTATCCGCCACCCTAGCGAATCTTTTTCTTCGTTCCATGCACCGTGCTTTTCTGTTTCATACCGCAGCCCGGTTAGCGTATAAAACTTAATTGCCCGTGAATCGTGAGCAACTCGAAAACGAAAATATACACGCACTGGCCATACACTACATACACTGCATTTTAAACGTATTATTCTGCGTCGATTTTTTCATCTCTGGCGCGGCCGCTGTGTTTTTCAGTAAGATCGAAAACCAAAATGTACACTGTTGCTCATGAATACGTGGACATTTTGGTCGATTTGTATTAACGGTATACGAACGTTCACTGCAAACAAACGATCGAAAACAATACTCGCTTTTTTCTTATGAAATTACACATTCTACATATGCGTAGAGAAAGGGAACGGGATTAATCGAACGATTTCGTAATCAAAATTTGTACAATTCAAAAATTATTGGCGACCAAAGTGGGGACGTCGTAGTGCTGAAAATTACTACGCCCTCTTTGCTCCTTAATGCCGCGGTAAAGTAATATGGGAGCCCGGCAATCTCGCACAATTACAAGACGTGCCACTTGGAGGCAATTACTCTGAAACGCCGGAAGGGTCAGTATATATGTACGTGTGCATGGACTTAAGAGATACCTTTAATTCGGCACGATTTCACAGGGCGTTGATTAAGAAAGATGATCGGAGTTTCTCGTAACACGAGAGACGGGATGGTCCCGAGGTATTACGCGCGAGAGAAGGAGGAAAGAGAGGAGAAGAGGAAAATTCAGAGATCGTGAGGGTGAAGGATGAGAGGGGATGGATGGTGGTAAGGTTGAAAAATAGCGTAGAGGACGAAGAAACGTCGACATTTCGACTGGCGAACATTAGTCGATGGCGTAAGCAAGCCGCCTCTCCTATCGCGCGAAAATAGAAGAAAAAAGCTGCTGCGGTGCATAGACCGGGACGTCGATACGAGAGAAAGGAAAAGAAGGAACACAATGGGCGCTGTCTTTTTTTTGCGAGCGTACTCTCGCTCTAACAAGAAGCCAGTGATGTTCGTTTTTCTCGGTATGCGCGATTTTGTACAGACAACGGGGACGAGGTGTTTCCATCGATTTAAGCTACCTTTCCGCGCAGCCATTCCTTCTTCATAACGAATATTTAAACGTTCGCGCGTTCTCAGATAACGAGATTCTATTAGCGAGGTTGCTGGAAATAATTTGACTTTGCGGAAGCTATAATTTTCAAGCGTAATTCGAGAGAATATTCTACCGTAGACCTTTGAAAAGATGGATTATTTTCTGGCATTATCAAATGGCATATCAAAAGGATATGGCTTAAAAAATATATTTGCCAAAACTTTTGCAAAAAAAACTATGGTGTATGTATGGTGTATGTCCATACGAATTTCATTGATCGATTTGGCAATGAAGTAACAACGAATACAAGATATTCTTCCAAAAATTAATGTAACGTATTTCCTTGAATTTTTAAGCTTATCGCGAAGAATAACTGAACTCTAACTGAACTATACCGCGTTTCGCAGTGTATGTATTCTATAAAGAAAAGCGTGCACGTGCTTACGCGAAGCAACGAAGGAGAATACCATGGGTGTGCAATACGAGTGTTAGGTAATCGAAGAAGGAAATAGAAAAGGAACAAGGAAAATATCGTAAATATCGTGTACTAGTGTACATACACATCGAAACGAAATCTTTTCTTGAAATATATTTGGTCCACAAGGTACAGAGATGCAGTTTCGTATTTAAATGAGAAAAATATTCCGTGCAAAAGTTACGCGGCTCACGAGGACAAATAAATATGTAAATACGAAGCTGATCGTAGGATTTCCAGCTGTCAGTTTCTTTTATTTTTGCTTCTGTTTGCGATCACTTTTCTAACGAAACGCACCGCTGTTTGTTTTCAGCTTTTTCGTTCGCCTCCATGCGGGTCGGCAAACTTCGAACTGGTGGATATTTTTTTCAATATTATCTTATTTTGTTCAAGAGAATATTCATACCTTATGCTATATAAATGACGATAATAGACAAATATTTAAGACTTTAAAGTATCCTGATATTTATTCTTAGTGAAAAAAGCGTTTAATAATATAAATACGAAATTCGTAAAAATACCCAGTTTGAATCTTCCTCTTTCAGAATTAATCAAAATATGCATGTACTTGAAATATTTATATTGCACGCGGGGGAAGTAATTTCCTTCGATATTATAAGTGTTAATAATATTATCATTTTACGAAAAATGTTTAGCTCGATATGTCAGTTTTCTTCCTCAAAAGTTTGTACCATCGAATAATATAGACAACGCAATTTCCTCGCGAGCGGCGTGGAACGAAATATTAGATTATTTTCCAGCGATTTATACGAAAGATTCGCGTCGTCGCCGGATGCTTACGTAATGTCACACAGTGGTATTGAAAGCAACTCGAATTCAATATCGAAAGAAACAAACGCGAGGAAAATCCTTTCGGGAACTCGGTTACATCACGAAATTATTTACAGTCTGTATCGTAACAGCGGGTCGAGGCGAGAGTGCAGCAGGAGAGAGAAGCAAGACAACCGGGAATAGCTTTGAAATCCTCGGATTAGTGGAATTTTGTAGTAAATTGTCTAGCAAGGTAGCCATGTGGTACCTTCGCAATAACGATTTTGTACCGACGTTGTTTCAATATAGTCGATGGTGTGCTTGAACAATCGAGCTATGTCTGGCAATGTAGCTTGCACACGAACACAATGGAAACCGTGGTCCACGGTGGTGCGCATGTAAATGAGAGGGAAAAGAGGCAAAGAAGAAGAAAGAACGGGGAGTAACAAAGAGAAAACGGTGGAAAGGGCAGCATCCAGTAGAACGAGACGAGAATTCGAAGGGGAGAGATTAGCGAAGGAGGGATGGAAATACTGAAAAGCAAAGGTGGTGGGGAAGATAGCAGAGATGGCTTATTTGATTTACGTTCTCGCTTGCATCTCTTCCGCTTCCAACCCCTTTCTTTCTTCTTTTTTTTATCACGCGACAGAGACTACCACCGAGAGAGTGCAAATTCCGCAAGATCGATAAAAAATGCTCCATCTCGTCCCCATCTCTGTTCACAAAAAAATTCACCAGTGTTTCTTTTTCTCTTTCTTTATTTCTTTTATCTTTGTCGTCGGTATATCGAGATTCGTGCAACGAATTTCGGCTGGGAAATTTTCCCCATTCCGTTTTAACGATTGAAACTTCTCCGCGAGATTCTATTCAAATAGGTCACGCGCTTATAACTTCAGGAAGAATGAAGAAACGTGGCGTAAATAGAACGCGCATCGTCATTGATTGCTTTTCATTGATTATTATTTACCTTCGTTCATCGAGAGTACTACGGTTACTTATAAATATAGCGCTTATCGCTCGGAGACGATCGATCGATCGTTCTTTAATATTTGCCCGCCTACCTGTTTTCAATACGCTGTAGAAACTGTTCCCAGCGAAATGTTAAATGAGATGGAATATCTTTTCAAGAAAACATTTTCATGTACTACCTTGGTCGTTGATGGCACAGTTATTAATATAATCGCCGTACAACTTATGTTTTAACGAGTATAATTAACGTAGTTTAGATATAATATTTCGCGCAATTGATTTAGAAATTCAAGCAATGTATTGATATTTATCCCAATAGAATTAAAATTCAATGGAATTTGATTTAAAATTGCTTACTCATTATGACGTACGAAGACAGCAAGAGGGATTGTTTATTGACAGTCTATTCGACTTAAAAATTATTTTTTTGTAAAGCAGGGAACAGTGACTTATCATTTCTCTGCCTTGTTGCCTGCATATGCATGTATATGGTGACTTCGTTTGTTAACTTACCTTTCCAAACTCACTGAGGCCTGGTGTCGAATCCTGGGTACTGTTCGTCTCGCCAACTGAACAGACTGCCCTGCCAAGAAAATGTCTGTTAGAATTTCTTTCTTCTTTTGCGTAAAGACGCCGGAAGGTTTAATAATTTTTTAATATACACGCTTTCTGTCTGTTCACTCGGTAAACATGGATTTCTCACGGGTTAATTTTTCATTTGCCAATGGAAAAATTTCATTTATCCAGACGAAGGAAATGCCAGGTCGAAATCCTACGAATCGTTTTAAAATCGAGAAATAATTTATCACCACGCGGAAAAGCAATTTCTGATCGTAAGAACAGTTCGGCAGAGGCGCAGAATCGTTCGGGGGTGGTCGCAGTTCAGAAGGTAAAAGATCGAAAGATCGTCGGCGACTTGCGAAGCCATAGAAAATTTAATCCGAGCCACGAAAGCCGGTAATCTTTCTTCTCCGGTCGATTTTCACCTCGATGCCGATGTCACCGCGGAAACGTTTTCAGAGGAAGGAGGGTCGACAGCTCGTCGTCATCGAGAACCGCGGGGAATCCAATCGTCTTGGCAATCCCCCGTTCCCACGAGGAAATAGCGGACGAAGACAAAGGAGAATGTGAGAAAAAGATGGAGAGACAGAGGTCAAGGATTAGAGATCGATTAGGCCTATCTAACATTTTCTGTAAAGCGATTCCGGTATCGTCGCAAGAAAACGATTGTTTGGTAATAATTAGGGACGAGATCAGGTTCAATGAAAACAGAGTGGCTGACGAAAATATTGGGACTCTTAGAGAAATTTTTCATGGATATATTATGTATGTTATGGAAAATATTTTGAAATTTCGTTAGCACGGTACCGAGACATGGTTTACACGATTACATTGGTCAAATTTGAAACTAATCTGTAAGTAATCAGTTCGGATAATCGAACTACTTACTTCCCTACTTGCTGTACTTTTGTTTAGTCTCGACTGATCCCTAATTTTTCAGCCAGTTACAATATGTACACGAATTCGTTGTACACGGAGGCTGAATTCCATTAGATAGAATTTTCTCGACATGCTTCCCTCACATACGTATCTACTTTTCCTTATCCGTGACACCTTGCGGCGAAGCACGGCGCATTAGGCCTGTAGAAGAGAAAAATATGTAGCATCGAAACAGAGATTTGTTCGAGGACAACGTAACTCTGGTTCTTATTTACAGCGCCGCCAGCCACGGCGTCGAGGGACTCGTAAAGTAGGCAAGGATTGAAAAGCAGGCTGTGAATCGGGTCGACGCGGCGGCTATTGTCGTCTGATACTTTGGACTCGAACTGTTAGTTACGGGCAACGATATCGGCCATCGAGTAGTACATTTTGCATTCACGATCATAGACGACTACATAGCCGGCTCGCTCCTCGTTGCAAACTCTCGAGGGTATAAATTCCAGCTTTGTGACAGGAATTATTCTATCTTAATGGTGAGCTTTCGGTGTGGAAAGTATATAGGTCGTGTTGTGGATACGCTTTAAGGTCTGCAGCTTCGCGAAGTGTTCTCTGCAAAATTGATGCTCAATAGCGGCGTATCTGCTATCTGAAAGGAACTTGTTATTCCGTTGCTCCTATCCGCCGCGTTCGATACGTTTTTCGGGCATCTATCTATCGAGGTTTCAACCATTCCACTCGTTGTTCTACCGGTAAGATAATTTTGTTAGTTTTTGTCGGATATTTGAGTGGTATTTGTTCGTGAATTGTACCGGCAAAAATTTATCAACACTGGGACACAAATTTAATAATCAAAGTAGTCAAATTCATGTAAATTCATGTTTATGAACGTTGTTAAACAAATGGAGCTGGAGATTTATGGTACCTAACTTGGATTTAGACCCAATGGAGCAAAGATTTGTTTCACACCTTAAACATCATAATTAAGATTTAATTTTCAAAATTTTATGTATTTTTTCAAATTATGTTTCTTATAAATGCTTAAAAATCTATAATCTACTCGTTATTGAGCAAACAGAACTGTAAAAAGTTCCATATAAAACGCACGATATATCTATAAAAGACTTTTTACGTTGAATTTTCAAATACTTTCGTAAGTCACCGTATCTCGAACTACACGACTCGCAGGAACAAGGATTTAAAATGTTTACCTCGCCGTTCGCCAGGGTAAAACCCGACAGAATTGAAGAGATGCATGAAGAAAAGCTTTATTTACAACGGAGCCCGGTACAGAGCGTGGGGTATCGTGGGACGCATAAAACTTGCCTGTACGATTGATGTCCTCAAGGAACTCACATTTCTAGCTCGTTTCGACATTATTCTAGTAGCAATCCCATGTTTCTGGAAAGTCCGAGCGCGACGATTTCGGGATTCCCGCGAACAGAGAGAAAATAATAAGAAACTTTGCGGGCTGTAAATGCGGGAACCCAGATCGGGTCTCCCGAGATTGAACCGTATAGCGAACCCCGGGAATTTCGTTGAAATATAGCGACTGAAAAGGAAACCGCACGAAACTTGTTCGATGCAGGGGGGAATCGATGCTGAAAGAAATTCCTGCGAAGGATCAACTTCTCGTAAAAGGAATCGGTTATTGGACGTACGGGAATCTGTGGACTCATTGAGGCATCTTTCGATCCATTCACTGCTTAGTTAGAATCGAATAAATATAAGAAGGAACTTTTGCAGGAATTTTCGTCTCTAAACACAAGGGACGTTTTTATGAATTTTCATGCGAGTAGTTCCTATATGTGCTATGTACTATTAACGAGTCTATTTTACTCTGGACAATTTGGTTAAGTTACGGTAATAACATGTGAAATTTGTTAAAACGTAAGTGCCTTACCAAAGATTTGACAAATTTCTATGAAATCTTTCTATGAGAATGAAATGTATAGAATCTGATAAAAAACGCTGCATTAGAAAATAAGAGAACGAGTAGTTTTTGTCACCATTGTAAAGTTTTAATTTGAATTGAATATGTAATGTAATATAAATATAAATGAATATGTAGTATTTGAACTTCATCTTTTCTTTATATAGTCGGGATCAAGAAATGTCCTAATATCGATGAAAGGGGATGTACTTTGCTGTGTATTGAGACAGGATTGTCGATCCGAATCAAAGTTCCTTTGTTTCCTTTCGAAACAAGCTTCTTTTGACCGTTCATTTCTTCGAACGTAAGACGCGAATGGAGGTTTTTGGCAGGGTACTGAAACCGCTGAGATGGAGGAAATTTTCTGTGCGCCAAGGTTTCAGATTGCGTCGAGCTCTTTCAGGTTGATCGGCCATGGCATAGGTTTTTCTTCGGCGATGGATCACGGTATAAAGCGGGGCCGAACGACCTGGTAAAAAGTACTCGTAGTAGTCGTATTTGACGAAAGAGCGGGACGAAAGAAGTTTCACTGGCCGATTAATTGAAATGGAAAAGGGTCCTTTGGTTGAGAAATGTTTTGTACGGAATCAATTCAATGTGCGATTTCGGTCTGATAGCAATGCTTTCGGGACTTCCTTTTTTCTCACCGAGCCGAAAGAATACCATTTTTCTTTTGTACGTTTCTTTCACGATCCCATTATATTTCTACGGGGTATATTTTGTACTCGGTAGCATAATTAAGAACAAAATTAAAAGAATTTTCATACGAATAGAATGGTCGACTAATATTGGCAGCAATAAACTTTTTCCATTGAATACTAATGCGCTCCTTTCGCTATTATTATAAGTATTCCATTGAATACCTACACTCCGAAAATTTGTACGATCAATCTTTTACAGTGAAAATTTATAAAACCGAAACGAGAATTGTAACTTAAATGTTTTATTCATTTTTATATTTAAGATCATTCTATCTTTTGTTATGCCATTCATTGCGGTTTTGCAGATGTACGTACGTACGTATAAAGACCTGAATTAAATCACTTGGTCGACTTCATGACAACATTTCGATATGAAATTGCGTGTATTGTAATTCAATCGTTAATTAAATTGCTCGTAGATTCTGGTTTCTCGAATTGATTATCGATTTATCGCAACGTGAATTGTACCGAGTATATTTTGATACATAATTAATGGACTGATATTATAGAAAATGATACGGAGACAGTTAAAGGTCTATCAGGTCAATTAGGCAGTTTCGAAGTCTATACACGGAATATTGAAATACTAAAATAAATTTGGAATCTAACTTATCTTGTTCGTTAAGTTTAACACCAAATGTTGGAAACTGAAAATTTAATCCTGTTCGATCGTAGCTGTTGATTTATGCATATAAGACCATAGCGAAAACATTTGCCTCCGCTCCTACCCAAACTTTATTTAGAAGTTTGACTATAAATTTTTTTGGATCTTTCGAAAGTGGTATGGAATGTACTCACCAGGAAGTATCGCAAGCATGCGTTAAGGTAAGGTATCTCGCGCCCAGGCCGTAAAATGTCCTGAGAACACCTAAGGAATTCCCCAGGGAGTGACCACCTTCCACCCCGATAAGACTTGCGATTTTGCCTTCTCGATGCGCTTCGATAAGACCTACACAATACGAAAAAGTACCACTTTGTTTAGTACGTTTATTGCATCCGTATATTTGAAATTGTCCACATTTTTTCACCAGGAAAAGATAGGTTATGCTCGTTGAGAAAAATAAACACGTTATCGATGTATCCACTTAATCGTGATTGAAAGAGCAGAATAATAATAAAGAACAGAATAATTTGAAGATATGCCGACAGTTAGAAAAATATGTATTTTTAATCTCTGTTCCAATAAAATCCTCTTTTTCCCCTCAAATATTCTCTCAAACTCGTTCTCTACTTCAATAAAAACCATGGTAAAATTATTTTTGTCCTTTTTGTCGGTTTTTTTAATGTTGTCTGCAAATTTCTAAAAGGGCGGGAAAGTGGGTGGGATTTCCATAGAAAAATTCTTATCACCGTAGACCAATCAGGTATCAAGGAATTGCTTGGAACGAGTTGAACAAGACCCAGTGTTCTCATACTAGATTATTCAAATCGAGTGAAGAATACGTAAGTACGCAAATAATTCGCTGCTTGTTCGTTTTAATGGTTACAGAATTGTAGTTTCTTCCTGAATGGAGGAGGCTCTTTATTTTCTGATTTTTTATTTACCCAGCATCAGTTGTCCTATGTAGTTGTCAGCAATTATCGTTGCCTATTTTTAAACAATGGAAATACAGAATAAAATCGTTTCGTTACATACACGTGACGTAAACTGGTCGAAACTCACGTGAATCTTATCTGACCTTTTTTTTAAATTTTTCACTCAATAAACAATTTATAATTTCCTAATTCTATCATTTATTTGGATTTTGTTTGTATCTGATTTGTTGTATCGTTATGAGATTAGGTGATCGTTACGTACTATTCGACCATCGATTCTCTTCAGCCAATGATAAGTATCCATATAAGTATGAATTTAATGAGTCGATCAGTCATACGAGGTATTGCAGAGTTTAACCACCAGTTTCTCTACAAATCACCTTCTTTTCCACCTACTGCCCTTTTCCTTCCACGACCTTGTTTCGGTTTCTCACTTGGCGGAGCTTCTCAAACTTATGAAAATGGTTGACAGCTTTCTGGAGCAGGTTACTTGTGAAAAGTTTTACAAGGCGTTTGCTATACTTCGCTCGACTCCGACTGTCGCACTTGCCTTACGTTCTCCTCTCATTTTTCTGCAACGGCGCAAGCATAACGTAACCTTTGCTTTACGTTTGTTGCACCGTGAGTACGCACTGCAATTCCAACTGACAAAATTCTGTCGACGACTCTTTGCATCTAACCTTCCGAGTTATTTGCAATGACAGAAATTGAAATGACAATTATTTTAGAACTTGCACTATTTTCCGCACTATTTCACATTGTCGAGTGAAATAAAGGTAAAATAAGTTGTAAAGTAAATTTTATAAAGTAAAGAAGCTTCATTATGCAAACATTTTTGTCTTTCTATTAGTTCGGATATGGGAGGCTCTATTATCATCTAATATATATGTATATACTTGCGACATTAATATATGTAAGTCAATAATAAATTGACATATGTAACTCAGTTAAAAACGTTAACACGAGTACAACGTCCATTTCTATTTTATTTGAACTTCAAATACGAACTTCGAGATGTAGGTCACAAACTTCAAATACGAGTGCGAAATTCTAAGAATCTAGTGCAAGTTTAAAATAGGTCACACAATTGGAAGTTATGCTAACGTACTGACCATTCATCGAAGATAAATTCTCTTTCCAAAGTACTCGAAGAATTTTGTTCACCCCATAGTGATAAAAAATGGGGTCGTAAAGTATTCAACGGGAATATTAGGGTGGTTCTTTTGCAAAGAAAAAGTGTGGGCGTAGAAACCGCATTTGACACGATACTAAGTTGCAAATTGATATTACAACACTCTGATAGGATTTGTTACGAAGCTTCGTATTTTGTTAAGTATCTTGGTTTAAAATTTTTCGTGCGTCGAATTTAAGTTATACTGTCTCATACTGTATAGGAAATACTAACGTCCATATCATAAACTTTAGATCAAGAGCAGATTAAGACTGGTTTTACGATCATCTTCAGGTTTCAACTATGAAAAAGAAGATTATCTCGAACCAGGACTGTGGTTAAAATTTCAATTGTAGGGATTCTGTGTTATAAACATAACTTGTCAAGAAGTTTCCTACGGGGCTTCTGGTTTTATTTAATTTCGTATGTTTCCGTTACGTTACCCTGGTAATGGTTTTCGCGTGGAACTGTCTGGCTTCGTTGAGAATTCAAGGAAAATGCATGTAGAGGCTCAAAAGACAAGTGAAAAGTTCTATTCCTGACTTTCCGTTGGATGTTCCTTTTGCGACCCCGATTCGGTTTCCTAGTTGCCAGAGTTTCTTGAGCTTATGAAAATGGCTGACAGCTTTCCGACGTGGGTTACTTGTCGCCGAAACTTTTGCAAATTTCCTCGCGCAGGTTATAGACTCCTTCGTTTTTGTTTTTCTTCCTTATCATTCTCTCTCGTCCTTCCCTGTGGTAATTTTCCAAACTCTTTGCCAGAGGAATAACTTTGCGTTTTTAAAAGTCCGAAGCTTGCGTATTGTTTGACCGAACAGAGCTGGATGAGAGAGGAAAATGTCTTTGGCGGCAAATAGGATTTTATCATATTTTTAATAGAATCGTCGCTGTCGACGAATAGATTGGACTTTATTATGATATTTGAAAATTTTAATTTAGAGTTGGGAGTTCGCGAAAGAATATTCGGCGTATTTCTGGCAAAGCCATATTTCACAAAATACAAGTGCGTCAGAATTTTGACGTCAATCTACGCTGTAATGAACGAAACTAAATTTGCTTTTAAAAAAGTGTAATAATTGTTTGTTCTATTTGTGAAATTGTTTGATTTAAACAAGCAAATAGGATATTTTCGTGGAAACAAAGCCGCGAGTTACAGTGTATTTTTGCACTACTTTATTCGTTAACTCAGTGAGAAAATATAGGAAAGAGTAGAAGAGACGTGAAAATTTGCATGAAGGCAATTTTATCGATTAACTAGCCGCCGATAAGCAAACATTTTTCTCAACCGTCGGTAAAGCTACGACAATATGAAACGGTGCTACCAAGTTGGAACCAATAATTACTTTCCTCTTGAATGATACTGCTTCAGAGAAATCGAGCAATTAATACTAGTTTCCTTTGTCCTCTTGAGTTTCCTCGAGAGCAAACTTCCTACCCGGCTCTGTCGTTTCTGTTGCATCCATTGTTACTTGCAGTTGGTACGCGATTCTAGCAATCTAATTATCAGTAGAACAAGTAGCAACATCTTAAACTTGAAAATCTGTTTTGTTACTGCTTATTGACTGTTATTGTACCAAGTTCCTCAAAATTATTAATTTCCATCGCTTGTATAAACTTCGCAAGGTAATTATAGAAACTTATAATTGCATTATACTTTGTTCAATTCGTTGAATATCTTTCATTTTATACGAGAGGCGACTCGTTTCAACAGCTCTCTAACCATTAACATATACACTGCTACTAAAATATGGCTATTCATCTTCAGGAGCTGCACAGTTTGTTCATCAAAAATATCTTTAGCTTCAATGAGTCATTTTTGTAAATTTTTGTAAATTAAAATGGGTCATACGTCTATTTACCTAGCATTGATTTTTAATTTTATTGATTTCGAATTATATGCAAAACTGTTACAACGTAATTGTACATTTTGTAAATCACTTGGAAAATATTACATACAAAAATGAGTTTTCATATTACTTGAAAGAACAAAGAAGAGATTTGTTTACTGCACTTAGTTCCTATTTTTTTATTATATTACATTTTCATTTTCCAAAGTAACTTTTACGAATTGTTAGAATTGTTAAAATATTACCTTCTCGTACATATAATTTAGCCTGAATAATAATTAAATAAGGACCAAACAACATCGGAGTTCCATTCCACGATGCAATTTCTGCTGTAGTAAAATAGAGAATTGTAAATCTTTCGAAATCCGTGGTAATGCATTGTTCGTTCGTAGAACGTAAGTCTCGCTCCTTTTCTGTTTCTCAGTGCTATGAAGCTGCATTTTTTATTTCTGTAGCAACCTTAGGGAATCGTACCTGATAAATATTGCCTACACCATTACGTACACCTTGATATTCTGTGCACCAATCTTCCTCAAGACGCTCTTATCTCTTCTTCGTAAGTTGAATCGAACAAACTCTAAATCTCATATCTTGCACTGTGAAATAAAAACTGTTATATAGTTTAATATTTGAAGGAATAATTTCAATTATATTAAATGTATGCAGCTCTATATATGTAGATCTTGAAGCTTCGGTAAAATATAATCAAAGTAGTAGAATTAGTGTGATCAACAATATTATTCGCATAGCAATTTTATTAATGTACTTTTCATGTATTACTTGGGTCAATGATTATTAAATCAAAATACTATTTAATAATTTAAAACATTCATGTTTTAAAAAAAAGATCCATGTTTCCATCCTTTTCGAGATCAATGTTTTGCAATTAAAAACTGATCGTGAATTGAAGTTTCGAAGCTCACCTTTGACGGAGGTAACCAAAGTTAAATGTTGAGCATTCATCTCGGCGAGCCGGCGGATCACGTCGATCTGTTCCAAGGAAAGTTGAACCGCATTCAACTGTGCTGCACCGCATGGAACGTAGGCAGACCAAAACTGAAAACAATTAAAGCAAATGTTACGAATAGTTTACAACCTTACTTCTATGAGAGATTACTAAAAACACACGTATAACTCTTAACCTTTTCTAAAATACTTTACTAATTCTAAAATATTATATTGTGAGAAATATAAGCCGAAGATGAGAGGCGACAAGTTCTTGATAGAAACATTTTTAATAAACCATGCTTTCTACTTATTTCCCATATTCATGACATACATATTTAACGCTTGTCGTATTGAGTAGGATCGAAGACTTTGATAGAGTAAAGTGGATTCGGATGGATTATTATTGATATTGTCCACGCATTTGCATGGTTTCGGTATTGTGTGCCGTTAGTTAGCCACTGATTGTAGCGGGTAATACGTCCATAATCATAACACTTGAGAACACTTAGCACTGGACGATAGACAGTTAATTAACACTTGTCGTTGTACGAGCCGAATTACATTCACGTGCTCGCGTGGAGTGCTCCTCCCTACTTTGAAAATTATTGTGCACAGACAATTAATCAACTCGTACATTAACGCTAATTTCGTTTCGTGTCAAACAACGAAAATATAATATCGCGGAAAAAAAATAATCGTAAAAATTGAATTATTAGGTATGTACTATAACATACCAAATTACCATTTTATTCATTATAGATGCTTTTTTATAAATATTATTTTATTCAATAGGTAAATGGGGTGTAACACGTTGACGAGCGTATTTCTCAATTAGGAATGATTTTCGAGTACTATTAAATGATAAAAGAAACCAGTTAATAGATCTTGTTGATATTAAATGCTGTTATAATTTTAGATTAAAGATTATAATACATTGTGGCGTAAAGAGAATTGTCGAAAGAGATTATCGGTTAAAGCTATGCGATACCTAAATGTTATTAAGGCTGTACACGAAACGGTACCTAGTGATGAATAAAAAGTTTTCTGGAACAGAAGGGGACAAAGCAAAGAGCAATGAGGCGCGCCTCTGCATTTCACTAGGTTCCGCTTTGAGAAGCAACGTTACCAATTACTCAGCGGTCTGATTACCGTAGAGTTTCTGTGTCAGTGTAAATATTGAATTTCGGCTCTCGTCTAACCCGATTGGCATCCCTGATTCCCATGATGCAGCTGCCATGACGTCAACGTTATTATACTAATCGCGTGGCGATATAACGTCGGCGGTGGCAACATGAAATTTTATGGAAAACAAATCACCTTTTAAACAAAGGGGAATGATTAAGTGAAATACACGCCGTGAGTTCGGCGGTGGCTCCTTTGTTAATTTTACCCGCTCAGCATATTTTATACGATATTCCTTAATTTTCGTTTAACTTAATTTTAACGAGAGTGGTATAAGAGAGGAAAAAGAATTTCAATCTTCAACGAGAGTGGACAAAGGGATGTCTTATTAAATCAATCAAAATTACAGGTTTGAAAAAGTTCGAATATTCATTTAAATGTCGCTTAGTAAATCCGAATCGACTTTGAAATTTCCATTAATCGTTTGATTTTCATTGGAATTTATATTTTTCTACCACAGGATTCAATTCTTCGAATTTTATCCACCGATTACTATTTGCAATCTTCGTAATGAAACGTTTATCTCTCGTACTCAATTTCTTATCAACTTTCGTGGCAATGAATTCGAGAGAGAGAGAGAGAGAGATACAAAATTGTAATATTTGTAATACTTAACAGTATCTTCAATATTTTCGTAACGTATATTTATAAAACTTTAGTAAAACCATTGTACAAACTAGTGCTTGTAATCCCTATAACATATAGCACAAAAATAGTATTATCTTCTTATTCTACGTAACGCAATTGTAAATCGATCGTAATTATAACGTTAATGCAGCTTTAACGCGATTTAAACGTTTCCAAAGCTGGGGGTAATGCTGAAAGCCAGGTAATGAGAAGATGGAAACAGCAAATACAAGTTACACAAGGCTTCATTTTACTTTAACTTATGCGCTCCACGTTCCGTAATTTAAATCGGCTTCGCGTAATTATTTAAATCTACTAGATTTTAATGAGAGTCCTTTATCACTGAACACGATGCCCCTTTTGAAGTCACCTGTTATTAATTAGTCGGTTACAAATTAACCGGCCGTCGTCGGTTTCCCCTTTTTTATAACCAGAATGTTTCCGATGTGAATATAAGGAAAATGGCTTCTCCATCTCGAGCTGGAAAAACGGATTAAATATGAAGCGAGACAACGTTCCATGGTTGGCTTTTTACACCTCGTACTCAGAGAAAATAATTGAGTTGTTGCCACGTTGCTGAAACTTTCACGGTAAATTGGGTATTTTCCCAACTATAAAATGACAGGATCCAGCTAAAAGGCGCGACGCTGGATATTCTCGGAACGCAGTTATGTGCGTAAAAATGAAAAATCTAACAGGAGTTTGTATATCGCGCGTAAAATGTTTTATGAACGTATCAAATAGAAATTCTTTTCTTTGCTATATACGTTCATCTGAGATAGCTAAATTTGCTTATCTACATGCACTATATGCTTTCACTCGTATACTTACAATTTTAAGATCGAAAGGTCTGACATTGCTTACTGATCGAGTCAACGTTTCAACCAGTCAGCGAAGCGAGTCTGATAAGTCTATCTCTTCCCTGACACCCGGTACAGTAAGTAGTAACACACACTAAGCGTGCATACACAGGTAGTGGAAATCGCGGTTAATAAGCGGACAGGAGATAAAGCCGTCTGACTGGAAAGAGACACGCGTTCTTCCAGAAGGGAAGCAGATAATACGGTAGTAACGTAGTACGTAGGTTCGGCTAGCTTATTTTATTCAAAACACGAATTCACCGTCAGGGAAATATGCTTTCGATAGAAAAAAGGAAAAAAGGACAGGGAAAATGCAATCAATCCGGTGACGATTTCAAAGCAACTTGCTCGTCGAGTCTCGCACAGCAGTTGGTGTTCCGTCAAGTTAACGTTCGATAGGAAACAATTTGTTCCTTCTCGCGTGGCCAACGTCGGAAAGCGTCGCGCGACAATTAAAATTCTTTTGGTTTTCATCGCGGCCGAGTTTTCAGCGAGAAAGCAATTTCGGACGTCATCGCGAGAGTAGAAATTAAAAAGTCTCGTTAATTCAATTACCGATTGAAAGTTTCCTCGGCCGTGTTAATTAAAAGCGAGACACGCGATGTGATTCCTCTGCTTTGTTTTTCGTATCGAACAGTAGGTTGTCGTTTTTTCTTGTCTGCTTTTGTGTGAAATTAGTTCGAACGTTTTCAGGCTATTATCCTTAGCGGTGCAATAACTGGACTAACGACGTTTGCTTAACGTCTTATTGATGTTTGGCGCACCATCTATTAAGCGCGTGTCTACCTTATTTTGCGCAGTTAGAATATCTGATACGCCAGAACTCCATCTATGTCAACTGCATTTATCTGAACGAAATTTTAATTAATGCCCGATTAACTGAGCTTTTGCTGGTTGGATTCATTTATCTGAACCTGAGCTCCTATTATATGAATGAAAAATAGTAGGTAGTGGGGATAATTGCTTCAATTACATAAACTGTTTGCCCTCTGACAAGTTCAGATAAATGGAGTTCCAACGTAAATGGAGTTCTACTGTACTGAAAATTAGCGTCGTTATTTCTCAAAATATGTCGAAATATGGAATTCAGATAAATGCGGTTCTATTGTACATACTACGCTAAACATCGGGCGCGTTTAATAAGAAAATGATACCAGTGCCAAAAATGATTCTGTTGTAGCCACTGTTGTCACTTTAAGACTCCAAGATATTGCGAGTAATTTCGAGAAAGTCATAAAAGGCCCGGTTTGCTCAATATTCTTAAAACCAGTCGTTTAGTCCGATCCCCTTTCTTCTCTTACGGTAACTAACAGAATGAAAAGTTCCTTTGATAGCGAGGAGCCGTAATAATGGTGGTTATTTACGTTATAACGAAATTCTTTATAGGAAACAGCTCACGAAAGACCGCTGTAAAGGGTGCGTTTACACGACACTGGGTTTCTTCGCGTATTTCCTTTTTGTGCCATTCGTTGTTATGTTTCCTTCCGTTCCCTTCTGTCCTCTCTACCGTCGAACAGCAGTTTCGCCACCAAGAAAATGACTTTCTTGCCTGCCTCCTGGTTTTACGCGTTATCTCGTCTGTTCGAAATAACGGAGTATTACTCGAGGTAAACGAGCAACGATAGTCGTCGATTATTGCCGGTGGCTCGTCAAATTCAGTTCACGGTGTGTGTCTACGTATTGTCGATTATCTTTCGCCAGTGGTTTTCCATACGTTTTCGAGGGAAATCGATAAGAAAAGAGAAAACGGAGCGAGTCGATTTGTGTTTTCGTGCTTTTGAGGATGAAATTTCGTTATTTCTCCATTGTCCGAGGATCCTTCGTGGACCAAACTCGGTAAACAGGATAATTCTCGCGAGATATTTATCGACGCTCGTGCATTCTCTCTTTTATCGGTGGGCGCTTCCGGTAATCGGCTCTTTTATTGGCTTCCACGGCTTCCTTCTTGACTTTCCCGAGGTTCGACCGCGATCTTCCGACTAACCCGAATGGAAATAGAAATTCTCTGATCTGTTTCGCGTAGAAAGATTTTTTATCAAGCAGAAATTTAGTTCTTCCAAGGAGAAATTCGTTTTTTTCTTCTTTTACAAATTTGAAGTATCGATTCTCGCATTTCATAGCTGCAAAGATGTTCAAGAATGAAGTTACTCTATGTACCAGTGACAATAAGAAGTACAGGTTTGTCACGTTTTCCACTCGCGATCTCCGATTATCCTCGCGATAAACTAGAAAATCAGTTTCTAGTCCACTTTTTCTGTAGCGCACATGCAACAAATCGTGTTAGCTGGTCGCGCAAAATGTTTTCATATTCCTATGATGGTTTCACGGGAGAAAGAGCTTTACCCTTCTCTGTGATCTGGTTCCAAACAACTCGAGGGGACATCGAAAGTGCGTTAACACGCAAAAGAAATCTGCATCGACAAAGTTCGCTGCACGCGG